ATGGGTTATCCGCCCTAAACATAAACAAGCCATTACCGCAGGGAATCGGAGAATCTCAGAATGCAATTATAAAGAGTGCTGGTGATACTGTCCTATTGAAGAATGTACACGCGATGGTTATGCCTTGTACACAGGGATCCTGAGCATTAAAAGAGGGCAACGCCCGAGGTGGCCTTGCTCACGACCTCCTCGGATACCTTCCCTCCAGTAGAGAAGCCACCGGGGATAAAAAGACGAGGGGAGATGGGCAAAACCACTAGAATGAGAAATATAGCATAAAGAGAAAACGATAAATCCCAGAGGAAGAGAACTATTACCCCAGAGAAAATTTACCATCATATTTCCCATGAAATTGCAGTAAAAAAATCTACAATTTTTGGAAGAATTATTGAAACATTAATCAAAAAAAATATAGAATTGAATGGAATAAATTTTTTCCTGGGGTACAAAAAAATTCCTGAAAATTCCTGAAAATTCCTGAAAATTCCTGAGAATTCCTGTGGATTACTGAGAATTACTGGAGTCAATAGTCAATGGAGTGTTCTTGGGAATAAAATTTTTTTTTCCAACAGAAATAATTTTTTTTTGCTCGGCAGGGTTAGGTGCTCCTGAGATAAGATTCCCTCTCTGAAGAGCACCGGTTACGTATCCCCGGATGGCTGACGTTCCTCAAGACCGGTAGGTTGGTTGAACCATTGCTGAATCCCCCCACGGAATGTTGAACATTGTTAGCCAGTGAATATCATACTTTGAAGGAAGCAATACAGATTGCAAAAATAGCGATCACCTCTCAGCGCTCACTTCCCTTCCAAGATATTTACCATTTTCTCGGGGCAAATGTCCCGGTGATTATTGTTGTTCTCTCAAGCTTCATTGAGGTGATTTTTTTTTCTACAATTTATCGATGGAATTCTAAGATAGAAAACTGGTTCTGAGATAGAAAAGGATTCATTTGCTCAGGTAATGGAGGTTCGAATAGTTGAGGACGGCAGATTATGAAAATAGAAATCCGATTGCAGGGATATTTAATCAATTCCAGTCAATCATTTCGGGGGTTTCCAATTTGGGGTCAAGCTTGATTAACCTTTACACTCTGATCAGTACCCGACAATTCACAACCGAAATTTATTTTAAAAATTATTTCATCGATTGACTTCATATCCTCCGTATTTTACATAAGATTGAAATTTCTCAATGTCGATAATGATAAATCGATGGAGAATATTAAATTATGAATTAACGATACCCGTAGAAAATAGAATAACAAATGATAATCAAGACCCAAAGATTTACGTAACACTCAGCTTTATCGAGTTTGTTACTTTTACCCGGAGTCTATGGATATGATTATCAACGAGGTATGAAGTTCCGAATGGATTTCCTCCTTGCAATTTTACAAATGTGCGATAAATGACGTAATTCTCAATTAGAATTACGCACGCGATTGGCAGGAAAGTGGCCGTGGAGGATAGTATGCGTTGCGTTCACTCGCTCTTTTCTTCCTTTTATTTTTGCATTTGACGTTTTATTTTTATTATTGACTCGAGTGTGAGAGAAGGCCGTCTCAAATTCACACGCGGAAGTCATTCCCCGTGCGGATAGTGCTGTGTATCTGATGGCACGTATACACCAGGTCCTCCATTTTTTTTTTTTTATTCATTTTTTATTATAGGCCATCCATTATGTATATATATCGCGGAATGGAGCAAACGGAATCCCGGTATCTCATTCGCATGGCATTTTATACTAGGTGGGCGATGTTTATATCCCGTCAACCTGTTCGTGTACTTTCCACAATTTTTTTATCCATCACGAGATTATCACCGAGAGAGAAAACTACCAGTGAGATTACCGTCCTTGATTTCTGTTTATGTTGCTCCGGTTATTTTTTAAAAAGTAAAGATAATGTCAATCGCAGAGTTTCAATTTCTGCGGTGTATCGATTCGCATCAGAAAATATTGACAAATTTTAATTTTTATAGAATTCAAGGAGTGAATCGCGTCGCATGCCTCGATAACAAATATATTTTCAGTTTTATTCCCACCCATCTGCAGGAGTTTATATGGTTTCGTCGGGATGATGCCGTTCGACGAGTTTCCAACAGCGATTAAATGAATCGTTCAAAGATGAAAGTATATCCACGAACTGACGGACCAGTTCTTTTTTTTTGCCATTTTTTTTTATTTATACCTCTCCCAGGTCTCGTCTGACTTCTTCTTTACTCATTCTTGCCAAACATATACTCAATAAGGCATCGCCACTTAATCCTGTTCCCGAGTTGAGGGAAAAAAAAATTATTGGAGTTGAAAAAATGGTGAAATTTATTCCTCGGTCAAATGTCCTCCCGTCATCTCGTGAAAAAGGAATGTTAGCATTTTTTTTTCCCCTTTGCAATGGGAAATAAAAAGCCACAGGTGTTTGTGCAACGCGGTGTTAATGAATATGGATTAAGGCGAGTGATAATTCCAGATAAAATAAGTAGGTGTAACTTGACTAGGTATTTTTCTGGGGAAAAATTCTCGATATTGAAGAAATTGTTCCAGAGGTATCGGTTGCCCTTAGATCTCGGTACGAATATCTCTCCGTGAATAATCAATGTTCCTCTGATAATCGTATGCAATTTTAATTTTTTAATAAAATCCCAATTCCACCGATTGCATCACAATAATGTCACAATAATGTTACGTCAGAATTACGACCTTCCAATGTCAACAGGTTGTTCCGGTTTTTATAGTTCCCCCTACGATACATTGTAATGCTCTCATCTTCTCCGGAAAAATACCTCCCCACGTTTAAATTTTCCTCTCAATTGTCTTAACCTGACGTAATCCGGATTTTACACGGATGAGACGCAAGTATGAGATAATTCCTGAGGAATTCTAAATCCTGATGCGTAGAAAAAAAAAACTCCATTATTTACAACTAATCGGGAAAAAATTCCTGTGCCATTCGGTGCAATTAAAAGTTATTCGTCAAGAACGTGTGATAAATAAATAATGAACATCGCAAAAAGAGCATTCCTGAAGATGAAATAAATCGGTGAAAATGAATTTGATACAGAGTGGCAACCAAAACATTTCTCCATGAATATCTCACAAGAAAAGCAACAGAAAAAAAAAGAGAAGGCTCGTGCGTGTCTTTGCGTGGTAAAAGTCATGTACTGAAGTAAACATCCTCAGATAAATATTAACCCCGCCATTGATGCTCTCGTAACCGCGGTATTGAGACCGAGTGAGATAAGAAAAGCGTCCGAAAATTAGTATTGCGTGTGAGGGTCTCTTTCCTTTTCAATAATTACCGATTTTTCTCATTCCACCGATAATTAACCGGGTCATTAGCAATACGAGTTGTCCGCACTTTGTCTTTCCGATTGGTTCGCCCACCCTACAGTACCCCACGCCTCGTCAAAACAGTTATCTAGCCTCGATTTGTCACGAAACAGCATTCGATTTCCGATAGACACGATATGTTATTTACCTTAACTATTGGGTTCGCGTTACGACAAAACTGTCTCGTGGATGGTGACTACTTTATGGATAGGAGTAATTTTATCACTTGGGGGTATAGAAAGCTGGGGATTATTACCCCGTCTCTTCACGAGTCAAAGAATACTGTGAATACATCTAGAGAAGCACTTTATGACCTTTTTTCTACAGGAGAAATTATATCGCCAGCTATTTTATTGGATGCCACGATCTTTCATTTATTTTTCGCTTTTTAGTTGGGTATTTATTTTATTTTTGGATGGTCAATGCTAAATATTCGGATCAAGAATTCATGATATTTAGAACGACGGGGCAATTTTTGGATATTTTCGGAGAATTAATTATGGATATATTATGAGGTATTTGTTGCGATCATAAATGGATATTTTAAAGTGGAAATATGAGAAAAACGACTGCGGAAGTATCGAATACCATTGACTCTGGGGTTAGCGATTCTAATTAAAGTCTTTAGACCGCTACGCTCCCATGGTTTCCATGATCGCACATACGTGAATTACAATGAAGGCGTCCAACGGGGTTCATTGACGCGAGGCCTAACACTGGAAGTGAAATGGCTCATGTAGCATACGATGTCGATCTGGTCGGAAGGAAATCGCGAAAGTTGATGAATTATACTCAACGGATATTCGATAATTGTCAAAATTTCGTCTCCGCCATGAAATTATCCAAAAAGCGGGACTAACGTGCTTCCAGGTAGAAGAGAAAATCCGGAAACTCGTCCCAGGACTTTAAATATTATTTCCTCAACGTAAAAACATCTTTCGAAAACAAACAGACGCAGGAATTTAAATCCGCATATTTCCTCTTGCTCAATAACTTAATTCCATCCATTCACTTTTCTTCATCTTCCCTGATTTTTATCACAAATTGCACCCAGTGATAACGCGATATCACATTTTTTATTTGCTAGATGACATCTGCGTAATAACGATCGTACCATCATCTCGGCGCCAGTTTTCGTATCTATGAGATAACATTTTTCGAATGAGGTTGATACTTTACACAATTCAATCGCCAGGTTAAAATTACGTTGACAGTTCGATTAATTAGGCGCAGGTGATCATCGATCGGATATTTCTACAAACATTTTGGGTAATGGACGGCCAGAATCTAATTAATTTGAATAGTTGTTTTAAAAAATCAATGAGGGCGTCACCATATTTGAAACCCCTAGCGACAGCGAGATCTTCCAAATGGTGGCGTCGACATCGGCGCTCACTTCGTATTTTTAAAAATCAAGTAAAATTATTTATATCGTCCAAATTAGCCCCCATTAACTTCATTCCGTTTTTCTAAAGTGAACAAATTTTTCTAAGCCATCTGAAAAAATTTCTATCAATTTTCCGCTGAGAATTCACGACGTAAAGTTGCAAAGGCGCGAATCCCAGTGATTATTTTCAACTCCCGAGGCCTTTTAACATAGAGAACTAAAATCAAGTGACTTTACTTGAAAGTAAAGAATCTCTTTTCTCAGTGTAATCATAAATTTCCAGGAATGGTCCGTTATCGATAATGGATCCATTGTCCTACATGTCGAGAAGCATGAATGGTCTCATGGAACGATCGGAATCAGGCACGAGTACTGAGGGTGTGCGGTACGTTTAGGTGAACGATTACCGGTAAGATGAGACATGAGAGACATAGGATGAAGGAGGAGCAGGAAGAAGAGAACAAAAACACACGTCCGAGGTCATCGAATGGGAAAAGACGGTGGGCAATAAGTGCTGGGCTGCCCTACGGACCGTGAACGAACACTGCAAGCCGAGCAACAATTTTATAATTATTGTTCTAGGTATATCGGTACTATTTTTAGGTTGTAGATCTTAGCTAGAGACATTGTAGATCAGTGCTTGGAGATGTCGAGTGTTTTACCTTGCAACTTCGCAATGATTTTACCATTGAAACGTGCAATTTTTCAGAGAATAGCAATGACTTATTTTCAGGAGAAAGTTATGTTCCATTATTTCAGGATATTTTTGGATATCAGTGATTGAGAATGAAATTCCTTCAAAAGATTCTTCAATTATTATCGGAAGATCTCCTTTCGCCCTGATAAACTTATCGAGAGCGCATTTGGGTAATCCATCCGATACATCCCGAATTAACACGTCAATCAGTGATAATCCCTTATAATTTTCAATAATTAATGAACACCCATGAAGACAGAAAGAATTCAAGACATGAAACTTGGAATAAAATGGACAACCGATGTTTTTGGTGAATTGTTTGAAAAACATTTAAACATAACCATCATTATCTACTGAAAATAATCATAAATTTTCTGTCACTGATTGTTAATTATCTCACACAATTAATAAATTCGATAATAAGGTGCGTAAACAATCGACAATTAATGCCTATTCATTGACAGGAATAATTCGCGGTTAATAAACTGATTCGTCAACAAAAAAATTATCTCCACTGAGACAAACATTTCGTAACTCCTAGTAATCGTTCATTCAACGTTTAATGCACCTGTTCAACTTCGCACTGCATCAGTATCGCTGTAATATACCAGCTGACCTTGATCGATTCTCCAGGCACCATTCCAATACAATAGTCTGGTTATCGTTCGATCACTCAAATTAAACTGTAAGTATTGCGTACCCGAGCAGACGTATGTCATCAATTTGTTGTTGCACCGATAAATCTAAAGAACGTTGTTAAAATAAATTTTTACTGAATTTTCCAGGTTTTGACCATGAAATGACAACAACGCAGTTCCTCTGACATTTCAGGGGGTTGTCTCATTGAGAATTGATTTTTTTATGGAAATTCATGAAAGGCTTACATGAAAACTGATAGGGATTAGAGAAATTGAATTTCCTTAGTCATTCCTTAGGGAAGAATTCAGTGTAATTTTCCGGAAAATTCCGCCATTTTTTTCAACAACGTAAAAATCTCAACTATCACACCGACTTTGATATCCAGCTTAATGATTCAACGATTCCTATCAGGAGTTTATCACAGCAGAGATAACGAGCGCATTACTCCACAATGAGATTAATTGACTGAAAAACCTGAATGAAGTGAAGATGAGCCGTTAAAAAATGACAATAATTCTACAACAATTTAACATTCCCCTTTTGATTCCATAAAGGTCTACCTTTTAAAATCCTCAAAACCTGACGAAAAAAACTGCATTCTAATATACGTCCCCGCAGTAAATCCCGATACTCCAATCGCCATAGATAATTTTTTTCCTAAATTATTCCATGAAGACTATCCAATGAAAAACAAAAAAAAAAAACAATTACTCACGAGTCCTTCGAGAGGAGCCATCTCCATAAATCGAATCTCAAAGATCAGCCCCTGGCACCAACTCAACGTCAAACGCAAGTCCACAAATTAACGCAATTAAAAATCGGCAATTAATTACAGAAAAAAAAGGGAGGAGAGCGGGGGAGGGGGATAAATTTCACTGGTAAGGGGGAACAATTTTTTTTTCACCGTCAATTAGGCGTTTGACGTTTTATTAACGTTTTGAAAAATTTCACGAGCAAATACATTGACATCGGGTTTGTAACAAACACAGATCGGTTGAACTGTCGACTCACTACTGGCGACAAGTGGTAAAAGAGGAAAGGTATAACGGCTCAAGCCTGCGAGGTAACACGGGGGCAGCCTCTCCCTCCCACTCACCCCCCTTCTCCCACCCTCCCAACCCCCCACGGTCTTATCCATTGGATTTAATGTACAACTTCGGTGACTTTCGTGACGGCCACGTGACTAACCGTCCACACCGGCTCGGTAATTTCCGGAATTTATGTTGTCTGACATGAGTTTATAACGAAAAATCCATTTCCGGATATCAATGGAACAGCTTCATCAATTCATTTAATTTGGGTACCACAAAATATCGACTACTCGAGTATCCGAAATTATTAACTCTTACTGACGCTTTTTCCAAGAAATTCAAATAATTTATAGTGAATCTATTATCAATTTTTAATTTTAAAAAATGCTCATTTTCCCATTCAAAATAATGATGAATAAAAAAGAATTTAATTTAATTCGATAAGATTTTTTAAATTGAAAAACACCAAAGAAATGTTGCGATCTCGCTGCAGAGGGGCCTAAAATCAATCAATCGAAACCCATTACGAAATGTCATACAGGATTGAATAGTTGGTAAACGACCACCAGAGATGAATAATTCATAAAAAGAGATCTAAAAAACTTGTATGGACTCCCGTCACGTCAACCTCCCCCTGTTGGTCAAAACAATAAAAAAATCATGAAAAAAGGTTCCTCAACCCATAGGTATTTGCAACGATTATGTAAACCCAGCAATTGCCATTAACATTTCTAAAAAGAGGGAAATGATTCTCAAATGAGAACCTTAATTACGCAATTATCTCAAAGATGTTGTGTGTTATAATGGATCTTCAACAGGTGCACAACTCAACTCTTCAGTTGTGACGCATACGCCACAGTCGAGTGGTTTTTCCGCGGGTTGCACTTCGTGCACTCTATCATAAAACACGCTCTTTGATACATCAAGTCCACGATGAAAAAATCCTTCAAAAATCATCCCGAAACCTTGGAATTATTCAAGCCGAAATAATTTCGCAATCGCACTTAAGGATGCAAGGAAATTCAGAACGACAGAACTCTGAGGAATAATCAAAAAATAACGGCCCCTAATTTATCCTTCAAAGTTTTAAGAGGACCGATAAGCAATAAATATGAGCGAATACGAGTAAATACTAAATACTCTCCTTATTTTAAATCTAAATAAACGATACCCCACGTGAATTATCCAACTATATCCCTAACGAATCGAATACCGGATAATCGATAAACCTAAATATTGACAAAAATATCGCAGAAACATTTGGCCAAGCCCGTGTCATGCATTACCGAGTACAGAACTCGTTCATATTTAACGAATAAAATGAGACATTTTATATCTCTCACAATCCCGTTTCAAGATACTCTGGGATCGATATTTTTCCAAGTAACCGTAACCGATGAGAGGAACTGTGAACATCAGCATGGAAGCCTAAGAATTTCCTTCGACTCTCACCAATATTTCCCAAAAGCTGACCAAAAATAAAAAAACATCACAAAGCCATTTTTCAATGATTGCAAGACTCCCTATTTCAAAGGACAGGAACTGAGTTCCAGAAATGTTTAATCAATAGAAAATAAAAAAGACTGACCGGCGCCTGCGAAACCAGCTCTGCAGTTTAAATCCCATTTTATAACTGGTAGGAACGTTCTCTCGAATTCACTTCACAAAACTAACAATCCTGGAGCATTATCGAAACAAAACTGACCGCGAGAGTCCTTGATACAATGTACACAAACGCACGGTAAACCGTTCACTGGTACCATACGACTAAACCGTTGAAACACATATACCTCTACCAGAAACTACAGGCGTGTTGCTCCGTTTCACACACCTCCAAACCAATACACCTTTAAATTTTATCCAGGTGTTGGATACTTCACGCACGAGACAGCACAACCGTTGCACCAAGTTCTTACGGTCACGTGCCAAAACACCGGCCAATTAAATTCTAACGGACGAAACAGAGAATTTTTATAAGAGGGGCTGATTACAAATCAATCCACCCCCAAATTAGTCAAATAATAATTGATAATCACAATAATCGAGGATACTAATTGATAAATTCCGAGTTACTCATTGATTTAGAGGATTTTATTAATTGCCAAATAGTTGTTCCTTATACATGAGGTTGGATTGGGCAGAGTCATTCTGGGTAAAGAAAAATGTTATCGGTATATTTTTTCTAAATTTTCAAAAAATTTATGGAGAACTTTTCAGAAAATTTTTCTTTTGAAACAAAAAAAAACGAGAAACGGAACAATTGTATTTTTGGGAAAGGTTTTGCAAAAATTTTTCAAAAATCTGTTTCGGAAATTTTTTTATAATTTTCTAGAAATTTTCGCGAATATAATTTTTACTTTTAATTATACCGTTGTTTTCTTACATCTTTGGTTTTTCAATATTCTCAAAAAAAACGCCACCTACATTATAAAAAAAATTTTCCTATTCAAATTTTTGACAATTTGGAAAAAATATTCCGATTACAATTTTTTTTTTACCCGAGATCCCAAAACTCGAATGACACGCAGGCGGTAAATCATTGAAATTTAAATACAAATATTAAAAAAATATGTTTGTTATTCCATCCCGTGATCCGAATATAAAGGGAATAATAAAAATCTGACGTGATAAACTCGTTGAATAATTATCTATTTGCCCGAGTCAAAATTTATTAAAATAAAAAAAAATTCTGGGGATGGATTGAGCAGTCGTAAATCGTATTTTTGACATAATAAAATCGTATTATCGAATTATTTAGCAATTCTTTTTCGAGGCTCTTACGTATTCTCGGCTAAATGCACTTCAATGTAATTAGCTAATCGGTATAAGAATAATAAAAAAATTGTTGAATATCCGTCTGAATATTGAGAGAGTTTTAATTCACGTGACGTGAATATAATGAGTGCGATCTTGAACAGAAAATGCTCTCCGAGCAATTTCTCAATTCCCGTTGTCTCTAGAAGAATAAACACCGATAACTTGTCATTATCGGTATTTCCTTTTAACAAGAGGATAATTGAATACTGGTAATTCAGTGATGCATTCACTTGAAGCACTGGGATCAATAACCGTATCCTCAGGGCCCGCATGGGAGATGACCGTGGGATGAATTTAAAAAAATGAAAAATGAGGAAAACCTACTAAGCAACTGCAGTTCATTGAGCTACCCTTCACTTTCTGTAACTGTCACCTGCCACATTTCATAATAAATACACACCAACATGGATTCCGTTACACTTCACCTGTATCTTTGCGAATTTTTCAAGATAGTGAATTGTTGATTGGATTTATCCGCCTACGAGTATTACAAATATATGGATTTTAATAACGTAATAGCACCGAGATCGAGTGACACAGGCTGGAAACTGCTGTCATTGAAATCAATTACTTCAAGAGAGTGAAATTCAGCCAAAAAACATGGCTTTCCAATACAATAAAAATTTATTGATTTTCTTAATCGATTGTTGAATTGAACAAAGATGGATTTGAATTCCAGTCAGTGGAAAAAACCGGAAAATTTATACCCGAGCTCTGCAATACCAACAGTTCCACTCCACCCGCAGTGACCATAATAAACCCTGGGCGCAAGAAATAAAAATGAACTGGTGTCAATCTGGAACCGGTCCTCTTAAACGTGCCAGTAACCAATAAAAAGTGACGCAAAAAATATTTCGAATGGTTTGACAGTCGAGTTACCGGGGGGTTAGTGTAATTAGCCATTGGCTCTCAAGCCTCCGTCCACGTTGAATGTTTCCTGATAGTATAGGTTAGGTGATTCAATTGAATCGAAACCATCTGAGCTGATAAACTACGACAATGGCCCTAGAATTCATGATTAATCGAGTTAAGGCCCTCGTGGTTTTGCTCCTGGGAGTTTTCAGACGTGCCTTATGCTGTCTGAGGAGGAGAAGAAGATCCTCGTGTGATTCTATACCACTTGCAGCGGTCGGTGTTGTCCCGAATGCTTCTAGCAATCGTGTGGTAAGTCAATCGATTAATCTCGAATTAGAAAATTATGTCCATCGGTATAAAAATGGCCCTACAATTACAGAAGCTCTGGAGGGGACAGGGCGATTTGTTATTTTGGTATTTTAATTTTGGCGTTTCCAGGAACACGAGCACTGGGAGCAATGGGATGAGAATCCAGTGGTAGTTGTCCCTGACAAACCAATCAATCCAATCCAAAGTAAAATCGATCAGTATCGGCAACAGATTTCCAAACCTCCAGAACCAATGGAGGAACCTCAGATAAATTTCTTTGAGGTCTATCCGCAGTTATTTAATAAAGATTTATTATTAATTAATTCTTGGGTCAATTTTCCGTTCACCAGTTGAGAATGGAAACGATTCTGGTGGAGTTCATTCAGAGGAAATTTTGGTATTACAGGATATGGCACCTCGGATTACGAAACAGAAGAAAGTCCTGATAAAAAAGAAATCGGAGGAGTCTGGAGCTAATTTTTCCAAGTTTGCTATTGCAGCTGAAAGAATTCCAACGGTATGAGCTCAAATTGAGTTTCACATTCCCATAATTTAAATTCCAACTCATTTTATCGATTATTCAGAATAATCTTGAGGTGTGGGACGATAACGCGGCGACGTGGGAGGACGAGACAACCGAGGAATTTGGAGATCCGACTGAGGAGCTCAGAAGACAAAAACGTCGGGAGCGAGAAAAAAAAATATGGGAGCAGCAACAGAGGCGCATGGAATACAACTACAGGCCCCCTCCACTGGGAGAAAAAATTGTATCTTGATCTTCACTCGAGATCAAGTCTTTCGATTTCATCTCTCAATACATTGGCCTCTGCCAAATCCCTTTTTAAACATTTCTGTCTCATCGAGTAAATTAATTCATTGAGATCATCTCCAGTGTGATACACAAATCATGTTTATCTCTCGATGAACGTATGTTCTAAATCACCAAATTAGTTTTAAGAATTTCCGGTTGCGTCTTGGAAAAAAGGGGAGGTAAGACCGAACTTAATTTTAAGGCCAAGATTCACATTAAGTGAAGAAAAAAAAAAATCAGATCGCCGATCCCTTCCCTTGGTTGCAAAATTCAGAAGAGGCAGTGATATTGCCAATATATCATCTGACTCGTGATAATTTAATTTTGAAAATTCAATTCGTTGAATGCATTCCATTCTGATTTAAACCTCGGAATCCTCTCCTGCCTTTATCATCCCCGATTATCGGATACGTATTGATTTTTAGTTGTGTAGTATATTCCTTTTTGGAATATAAATAAAATTATAATAAATATGAATGTTTTGAAAGAACTCGCAATCGACGTCATTAATTCCCGGAAGATACGATGTTCGAAACAAAAACAAATCACAGATTTCTTGTCTGGAATTTTTGTCAACATCTTCAGACCCTATTTTCTGATAAAACTAAGAAGAAAGAAATGGAATTACTCACCGTTTACTGCAATAGCTCCATTCTCGCTGTTAATCCTCTCAACTGCTTCAACACTCCATCCCTGCAGCTTTCAAAATTACATCCTCTCCAAAGATGACACACCACCTGCCATCTCCGTTATTTCCCAGCAAGTTCACAACACTGAAACTCCGGTTATCACTTCAACACTTTTCACACATCACAGCACCAAGTCACTTTGATCCCATCGACTCCTTTCTTATTCCCCACCCTAACCCATCTTCCTAACCTATTTTTTAAATTAATTAAAACTTCAATAACTTCCAAAGATCTAAAAACCCGATTTATTCCCGTAGAATCGCACATTGGGCGTCATCTCCTGGTCACACTACCACATTTTCCACTGGAATACAAGATTTTCAATACACGAAACCACTGCACTATCCCGACTAAAGAATTGACTGAAGTAAAAGCTCAGTTCTGGGGTTTTGAGTGATCCCAGCAGCCTCATAGTACTGCATCCCAAGAGAGGGAGGGCGCCACACGCAGTGGGGATGTTATTTTCTGTGTTACGAAATTGATATTCACTGAAATTGAAAAATTCGAAATTTTCAAAAAAGTATCAGGGAAGCATGACAATTGAGGAGGTATTCACTGAGATTCAAAAATTCGAAAATTTCAAAAAAGTATCAGGGGAGCATGAAAATGGACGGGGCATCCACTGAGATTTGAAAATTCAAAATTTTTGAAAAAGTGTCAGGGGAACATGAAAATCGAGGAGATATTGCTCCCTGATACTGTTTCAAAAATTTTGAATTTTCAAATTTCAATGAATACCAATTTTGTAACGCAGAAAATAATATTGATCCCGTCGACCGCTCCCTCTGACAGCGGGACTGCTACTGAGGCAGTTACCGAGTCGGTTAACGCGCATACCCCCCTCCTTGCGTGCGACGCTCCCCCCTTCTTGCGTGCGACGCTCCCCCCTCGTTGCGTGCGACGCTCTCCCCTCCTTGCCTGCGACGCTCACCCCTCTCCGGGTGCAATACTACGATGCCGCTTTAGTCAATCCTCTTTGACCCCGACACCCGTAAAAGTATTATACCTTTTGCAATTCACCGAAAAATTATTGATTTCCATCGTTTCAACATTACTAAATGTGTAACCTCACTATTGATTACATTATCTATTTATTTGCCTTGGAAATTCCGACGGTATACGTTAAACCCCCCCTTCTCTGCCAGACATGTTTACCGCCATTTTTGAGGTGCAGGGAACCGTGCTCCCCGCAAATTATTTATCACGCTCTAAACCGAATAATTCACTAAAATACCAGTGAACCCCCCATAAAATCATTTCAAGTGATTACGATTAATGAACTAACCCATTATGTACAATTATAACACCAAATTTATAATTATTTATTCAATTTTACCGTGTTTCCATGGAAAATAACGAGGAAATGAGAAACGCACGTCCCCTTGGTCGCCGCCATTTTGGATGTTGTTGGCGATGCGCCGCGGGATGCGCAGAGGTACATATAAACCATTCGTTTATTCAGTGCAGAGATTCGGTGTATTCCTTATTCACTCGTCAGAGAAAAAATGGAATCCTAACCAATTCGTAGTAAATAACAACTGTTTTCGTGTCGAACCAGTGATAATAAACTCCCGATAATAAAGTTAGAGTTTAAAATGAGCTCCCAACAGAGTCCAGCTGCTCTGCAAGCCTCCGTAGATCGTGAAAAAGTTTACACGTGGATTATTGAATTATCAAATCCAGAGACTCGTGAAAATGCTCTCCTGGAGCTGAGCAAAAAGCGTGAGGTTGTGCCGGATTTGGCACCGATGCTGTGGCACTCGTTTGGAACAGCCGCTTCCTTACTACAGGAGATTATTAATATTTATCCGGCTATTAATCCAGCTACGTTAACTGCCCATCAGAGCAATCGCGTATGCAATGCACTCGCTTTACTCCAGTGCGTGGCTAGTCATCCAGAGACAAGATCAGCATTTCTCCAGGTGTGTAATCAACGAATGCATTGAAGAAATAGTGAATTGAGGGGCTGAAGAAAAATTCAGGATAAAAATAATAATTGTCTTTTGCAGGCCCACGTTCCTCTTTTTCTCTACCCCTTTCTTCATACTGTCAGCAAAACCCGACCATTTGAATATTTGCGTCTCACTAGTCTTGGAGTGATCGGTGCCTTAGTGAAGACAGATGAACAGGAGGTTATTACATTTCTTCTGACAACAGAAATAATTCCTCTCTGTTTGAGAATTATGGAGAGTGGGTCGGAGTTGAGTAAGACAGTGGCAACATTCATCCTTCAGAAAATATTGCTCGATGACAGTGGTCTTTCGTATATCTGTCAGACGTATGACAGATTCAGTCACGTAGCTATGATTCTGGGAAAAATGGTTTTGTCTCTTGCTAAGGACCCATCAGCAAGGCTCCTCAAGCATGTCGTAAGGTGCTATTTAAGGCTGTCTGATAATCCGAGGTAATTTCACAGGAATTGTTCATGAAGGGTAATGCGACGACTAGTTCATTCCTTGAAAATTTTTATTTATTGTTTATTCCTCAGAGCTCTCTTAGCACTACGGCAATGCCTCCCAGATCAGCTGAGGGACAATACCTTCGCCACGTGCCTCCAAGAGGACAAATCTACAAAACACTGGCTGAATCAATTGCTGAAGAACCTCGAAACAGGACCACAGCAGGGACCACCACCCCAACCTGGCCAGCCCGACCCAAGGGGAATAGGCATGTCTCCTCTTGCCTCGTAAAGTCTCGGAGAAAAATCTCTGAACAGATCTCTTGGTGGTGTTCGAAATTTGATCTTCAAAATCAGTAGCCATGAGGTGAAGTTAACGAGTCGAACGATCCTAGTCGATTGTTCGAAGAATATCTCCGAATCTGAGAGATACTCCTCTTTGCTACTGGCTTGTTCTTCACAATTAAAATGTAATAAAGGCGATTTAAAGAGTACAAAAGAGTATAAAGCAGATGAAGGTACTGGGCAGGTACTTTTTTTTAGATCGACGAATTTGGTATTGCCTGTCACCAATTAATTGTGTAAAGATTGAGTAATTGTGCTATTCAAGGGAGAGGCTGTAGGGAAAATGCCTTGGTGAAATAGTGATCATTGTAATTAATGCCTGGAACTATATTCTTGTAAATAATTGATGATGGTGTGAGATAACTTTGGCCACGAGTGTGTATATAAATCTAGGATAGGCAGGAATCGTTCATTATTGTTTTTAGCCTCTGGATGCATCTGTAAATTGGTGTGAGCTCACCCTCATTCATTAATTTGATTAATACTACTTGAATTCTCCTATACTAGACAGTAAAAAAAAATACAGGGAATTGCGATTCAGGAGAGAATTTCAGGTCCAACTTTTCGCCCTCATTATCTTTACACTATTTCGTATGATTTATCCAATTTAGTATTTAGCATCGTGTGCCGGTAATTAATTAGAATTAAAAGAGTTTTCGTATTTATAAGAGAGAATTATGTATTTTTTCATTACTTCGTACGTTTTCTGGAGTTGAAAAAACTTCAGACCGATTTTTTCTCTTCGTTTGAATGGAAAATCAGTCTCTAAAAGTTGAATGGAATAAATAGAAAAAAATGATAAACTCTGTTTTCTTTTTAACCAATAATTCATCATTAATTTTTTTATGCGCAAAAAATTCTGACGCGCCCGACCATTTTCACTTTTTCATGTACAAAGACAGGTTTCAATGATAATTGCACAAGAGTAATCTAAAATAGAATTTTATTATATTTTTTAACTATTTGTGGCACGTTGATTGCTTCTACCTTCACCATTGATTTTCCTCAACTCCGTGGTAACCTACAGTGTCATAAAATCCCTACATTGATCTCAAATCTCTCAAATAATAAAAATACAGATAAAAGTCATGACAATAGTTACCAATTTGTCTGGATTCGTTGGGAACAAAAATCTGTGGACAATCGGAGTGTATAGTTTTTTGTCCGCCTGTTGATATTTGTTGGTCCCAGTCAACCAGGACACAAAGAGGCCGACGAGAATGGCCGTCAGAAATCCTATCCACGTGTACCAGAGATACGACAATCGGTACAGGAAAAATGGTTCCACCCTAAATATCGCCATTCACAAATTAATCAATCAATATCAATTGATTGAGGCTAAATTCGAAGTGTCTAATTTCTACTTTATCATACGTTATAGCATCCTTCCGAATTCCCGAAAAATTAGAGAATCTCTTCTGGATTTCTGGAGAGCATCCGTCGGTCGATACCGGTTTCATGGGGTATGTGATAACTCCCTTGGCCAGAGCTGCCTGAGTGCCCAATGATATCCAGGCGACTAGATTCAGACTGAGGACCGCTCCAACCAGAGCACCCTGAAGTTCATCAACAAATTACCATTTTAATGAGTTCACTGAGAGTTCTTTGATAAATATGCGCATATTCAGTGCTACTAATTGCATACATCAAGGTCTCTTCAAAATGAAATTAAATGAACAATTTCCACGTCTGAAATATTTTTAAGTTTGTCGTTACAATTTATCCAAAATATTTGACAAATCACTATTCCCCCCAAAATTGTTGAATTAACAAAAATTCAAAGCTCAACCCCTGACAATAATTATTTAAAAACGATTTTCCCTGTTTTATCAACGAACAGCTCAACGTCTGGAAGACTAGACCCTAGTCACTGGAGTATTTCATGGAAATTTTCATTCACCGCAGCCTCTTGCAGATGAAAAGCCGCAAAAATAATTCCCCCCAATAGCGCAGTGATTATTCCATATTATTAAACTGACGCTTTCATCTCTGACGTGAAAGAGGAGGAAAAGGGGGAATGAGAGAACTCCTTTAATCATCATCTCTCCTCTCTTCCAGGTCTGCCCTCTGATTTCCGTCACCACTTTTCATTACTTAGACGGTAGTATGGAATTCGCAATGAGACTGGATATGAAGGACATATATATTAGAGAAATGTGTTCGTCTTGACTTACCCTCGAGTTTGCTTGAGGGAAAAACATGCCCAAAGTGAAAATTCCAAGCAATGGTCCGGCCGTTATGCCCGAGAGGCTCTTCCCTGCCTGACAGCAAATCGAAAATAAATTAGCTGATACCGATTATTCTAAATAATCGAAATTGAAGTATAATCAATAATGAAGTGATAAAGTTCGCATATAGTTATTTAAGGGTGAGAATTATAAATACTTGGATCAATCCACTGAGTTTGTCCACGAGAAATACAAGTCCAACGCAAATGGTGCCGATGAAAACAACGAGAAGTTTCATTAGCCGACTGGCAGCCACTTGAGACAAGGGCCTCTTCAACAACGGATTTATCATATCTTCGTAAATAACTCCCGACATTGAGTTCAAACCCGTCGACATCGTGCTGGAATACGAAATAAAATACAAAAAATAATCAGTGAGTCGTCAATTGCTTTCTTTCACCCCAAAGTGAAAATATTATTTTTTCTCACAGATATTGCCACGTGCTAGGAAAATATTCTCATCCACCCTGTTGTTTTTTCGGATAAATATGCGCTTGGACTGGTCCTGCACTCAGCTTTATTTTTTATCCCGACACTAAAGTAGTAAACAACGTATTTCTATTTTTATTACATCCGCCAGACGTAAATGCTCACGAAAGGGGTTGGTGTTTTCCCTTTTTACCCTGTTTACGCTATGTTATTGTGCACGTCATTATCGGAGTGCTGGGTTTACACTGTAAATATTATTGTACCCTCGTAATTTACCTGAGAGCCATGGACCGTCGCTGGAATAACATATTGGTCATCTGATAAGGATCATAATATCCCCCGATCGTCTCATATTTTCCATTCACCGCGACTTGACATTTTTTATTTTTATTTGAATCTTTTGTGGTGTTTTTACTGCAGAGTTAGTACAATTCTCATAAAAAAGTATTTAGCGTTGACATTTTATTTTGATATCACTAATTTTCCCGTCGTTTCTTTCTGAAAGATAAAATGTTTACCTCAAAGCAGCACTGAATACACCAGAGACAAAAACCCCGGGGAGACCAGGAACGGACTGGGCTATTTTCATCACGAAGAATGGCAGCAGTTGATCCGGCTTACGTATTTGCTGATAAGAAATTTGAGCTTGATATTCAACGGGCAGAGAGAGCACCGGGAGAATTGATTTTCATTGATATTTTCTGGTTTACACTCACGTGAGTTTTCACTGGATCGCAGTCGTGAAATGCAGCGTAGATTATTGTTCCCGTGTAGCAGCTGAGAGAAACTATTGATATTATCCCTACAGCCATGATGATGATTGTTCTGGAAGAAATAAAAATAATTCTGGCACTTTCAGTTCAATAGCTCGTGGAGTTGGCAAAAATCGTTGAAGTGTTTCTCACATTTTTGCTTTCCTCAGGTTTGGCATTGACAAGCATCGCTGCACCATCATCTGGTTTACCGAGCAGGAGGCGAGCCAATTGACGTAATTACCCACCACTACACTCCAAAATGTGTGTCTAATTGTGGGATCTGGATCCATGCTGTTCGAACAATTGATTCAGGGCTTAATTAAAACGGTTGATTATTCGATTTGCATGATTGTGAGAATAATTGAAAATTGACTGCTTCCAGTTTGTTCTACTGCTCTCCAGCGATTGCCGAGAGGCTGAAGGCAATCGCTATTTTTCTTACGTTACAATGAAAACTCTTCGACTACTATCTCTCCACCAGTGCTACTATAAATTGATTATTATAATGGCGATTCGATTGAAAATCGTTAGTATAATTACAGAGTCCCAAATGGTTCGTGTTAATTTTTGTTACAGTATCTTGGGTTTAATTCTCATGTAAACCTCAAACTGGAGCAAACCTTTGTTGGAGGATATCAACCTTTCAACTTCAGATAATTACTTGAAGAACTCGATTCTCCCGGAGTGGACATTTCTACTCCACACTTGGCTGAATCCACCAGCTTTTATTGTACCGAGAATAGCGACAATTATAACTCCACCGAACATGACAATCGTTTGGATTGTGTCTGTCCATACGACTGCTTTCAGTCCACCCTTGAAAAGAAAAAGTTTTCTGAAGATTAATGCAGCTGTCCATTCATCCAGATTCAAAGAATTTATTTTTATTTCGGGGGTAGAGTGCATAGACGATTTCAGGTGGAAAGCTCTGGTGCAAGTGCCCATGCACCTGTCAAAATATAGTGAAAAACCTTGTGCTTCGTCATTTCGTTTATGAATATCGTCTTGAAATTAATTACCTGGGAGGTAATAATTCCCACGGGTTCTTACCAAAGTAGTGTAGAAGATGCAGACAGCGCAAACGATTGGAGAAACTATGTGCATATCAATTCCGGTCACATGATTGAAGGCTAGTGCTGGTACGTACACCACTATTGGAATATAGAGCAACTGCAATTTGAATCAAGACGAAAATTACTTGACAAGGCACGTGTCGCCGGAATGGATGAGGAGCTTGATGAGGAGCTTGATGATGAGATTTGGAACATATGGCAAGAAAATTATGTCTCCCCCACAAAAATAAATAAATAAATAAATATATAAAATTAATTATATTTTTTTTCTCCTGGGTAAAAAACATTGTAATCGGAATATTTTTTCCAAATTTTCAAAAAATTTCTGGAAAATTTTATTTTAATTTAATTTAATTTAATATAATTTAATTTAATATAAATTAAATTAAATTAATATAATTTAATTTAATTTAATTGAATTTTATTTTTTTTATTTTATTTTCCCAAAAATAAAATTGTTCTGAAAAATTTCTCAGAACATTTTCCGAAAACACAAGTGTGTTGTTACCGGATTTTATTTATGTTTAAAAAAAAAATTTCTGAAAAGTTTTCCAGAAATTTTTGGAAAATTTGGAAAAAATATTCCGATTACAATTTTTTTTGTACCCGGGTTTCTTAGGAATTGTTTAATGTGAATCCGAAATTTAATCGCTCACCATTTTTATGAGAAATATGATGGATCCCAAAAGTCGAACTGCAGGACTGAAACGAAGTTCCAGGTACTGTGAGGAGTAACGAAAATTTATTCATCGGAGAACGTGTGGATGGATTTTTTTTTGTAATTAGGGTATTCTTTTTTGTTTACCTCATAGGAAGATGTGATCTGTAGACCGTAGAACACGGGTAAGTACACAATAGCCATGGTGAGTGATACGAGAGCATCTCCAATCACAGTTGCCCACAATTGTGTGCCATACACATACATCTCTGCAGGGAATCCCAAAAGAGCTATTCCAGAGATGTAACTGCAAGTTTTCGCATGATTTTCCAATTACTTTCAATCACCACAAATTCAGAGAAAACATTCCCTACAATATTTCGTAAATATTTTCTTTTCAATTTAAAAAAAAAATTTCTGGCAAGTTTTCCATAAATTTTTTGAAAATTTGAAAAAAATATTCCGATTACAATTTTTCTTGTACCCGGGAAGTGAATATATAAAGAATTCGGTTTTGAGATTTTTTGAAAAAAAAAAAAATCAGTATCTCAAAATCCCCCCAAAAATCATAGATCCGCCCCTGAGCCGAGAGTAAATTTTCCTTTTTCCATTTTTAGAAAGCGAATATGCGTGAAACGATTGGTAGATGGAAAAATTCAATTACTGAGAAAATCCGAGGAAAAATGACTTTCCTCTCACAAACCTCATAAGCCGGCGCCCTGGACCGGTGAATTTTTTTTCAACGAATTACCTTGCAATGAGAGACATACTGATTGGAAATACCCTCATGGTCTTTCCTCCCACCAGGTACTCGGCGACGGCATCAGGTGTTTTGCGATCGTTCCAGGCGTAGTAAACCCCGACAGCAGCCGACACCCCGAGCATCACGACAAAAATTGCCCAGTCAACCAAATCAAAAAGCCGGAGCTCCTCCATTGTCATCTACTGGACTTGTTCCTCTGTACTCTGGATGACAGAACGCACGAAACTGTGATCCAGATTGCAAGCTTTTCAGACGACAATCATGAACGCCAGCCTGAAACGAGCTGGGGATTGAATAATTGCAACTTTCGTCGGTCTCCGTTCGGAGCATTATCCCCAGGTCGACCGGTCTCACTTATTTTTCTGACAATTGCTCGAGCGTAGAATATCCCGGTGGCCTTTATAATCACAACCGTACAATTCACGTAAGTTCAATTGGATAAAATCTCTTGGGGTTGACGGAGGGATCGAAACACGTGGCGCTATTTTAAGAGAGTTTTCACTGGAAAGAAATCCATTCGCGGAAACTGTCTCGGAATATCCGAAAAAAAAAATGATCCATCAATGGGGATGAGTATTCCGGTACATTCGGTGTAATGAACCATTAAAGTGGAAAAATTCAGGGGAATTGGAACGAATGAAATTAGTTGATTGGCGGCATGTAGCAATGGCCATTTCCATACGAGATAACAATAGCAATCCCTCGGTTGGAATGATATGACGCGTACCATCCCTCCTCGGGTCGTTAGTTATTGTGGATGGGGTGTTATTGTTGAGTCCGAAAATTTACGGACCTCTGGGTACCACGGATTATGCATTTGCGAGCCGATAGGAGATTCTAGTGGAATCCGATTAGAACTCTCTCCTGTAGAGCGTCGCCCCTTCGACGTTTACCTCTACTCCGTGCCCATCCTCACCTCCGCACCACAAATGCATTTGCCCACGTTGCTCGCCGCATATGGAGTCGGGAAAACCCTCGTGGTTCTACCCTGTGGTTAAGTTTTCAGTTTGTACGATTGAATTAAACTCCAACAATGGAGTGCACTTCATTACTCGCAACACCTTTCCAAACTCTCCAAACATGCAATTGTCGTTTTTTTATTTTCGTTTCATTAAGATTAAGATAAATTCAAGTGAAGATGGACAAGGGGTATTCATTAATGGGGGGAGATGTTTTTTCGGGGGAATTAATGGTGAAAATTCTCATCGAATTGGTTCATGAAATAATCAGAGCATGGCCGGTGGGTAAAATTGAAAAGGTGAGAGTTTCATTGAGTCAAACATTAGTTCGTCGTTTGCGCACCCATGAATAATACAGGAGCACCTGGCACATTCGATTTTGCTTCTATCCATGTGCGGGGCTTGATAGAATTGATGGTAATGAAAAAGCTGGGGAAGGTGTTGGTGATGCAGCCCACGCATCACCAGAACTTTCCCGGTATTTTCGGTCTCGGATATTGAGGGGAGCTGGTAATTCGGAAAGTCGCACTGAGCAGAACTCAGAGTGATTTACCATAATAAAATTTCAGATAATTGAATTGAGTACTGAGTATTGTATTTAGTTTGCAGGGGTAATTAAAAAGTAAAGAAACTAATAGAAGTAAAATAAAAATAAATAATGATTTTTTTTTAATTCGGATAAAGTTTCGTATAAACCTTCGGATTAAATTCGGATTGATATAATATTAATAAATATTGTATTTAGGTTGTACGAGTAATTTTCTGGGAGAATCAATTGACTTTTGGTGAAAATAAGAAATTCTTTTCCTCTGGGTGGAGCATTGGGATCCCGGGTAAAAAAATTGTAATCGGAATATTTTTTCCAAGTTGTCAAAAAATTTCTGGAAAGCTTTCCAGAAAAACGAATTTTCTGAAAAATTTTCCAGAAATTTCTCTTACCTTTTCGATTTTTCAATATTCTCAAAAAAACGCCATCTAAATAAAAGAAAATTGTCCTATTCAAATTTTTGAAAAATCTTTCAAAACTTTTCCGAAAAAAAAATTCTTTTGCTTTCCGATTATTTTTTTGTTTCATTAAAAAAATTCTCTCAAAAGTTTTCCAGAAATTTTTTTAAAATTTGGAAAAAATATTCCGATTACAATTTTTTTTTACCCGCGATGTTATCCTGATTTTCCTCGCATGCAGCATCCGATTGTGGAGCCGCGGGTGTCTCATCAGCGATTTCGCAAATCGATTCCACTCCGCAGAGCCTCGAGCTTTGATTTTCCCTAGATATCAGCACACATCACAGACTCAGTATTTTCTCCAATTTTCCTTTTCTCTCCAGCTACAATAACACGCAAAGGACTCGATTCACGAAAAAAAAAAAATCCCCCAAACACGGGAAGAACAAAACTGTTGACCCTCAAAAGGATATTAAAATAATCATCTCCAAATTGCCGAAGCTATTTTAATAATCGATATTGTTCGATGATCGATTACAGCTGTCGAGCGGTGACATATAAGGCAATCACCAAAGCCTCGCCTAGTTCTTGTCCTAAATATTTTTCCCGGGCTAGAATTCCTAATTCCTAATTCCTTCCTGTGTTATTTATTCAATAAACAATACTATAAATACTGCCTCGATCTCTGAAATATCTAAAAAATCAAATGACACTCACAAATAGAAATGAGAAAATATCGCTATATGTCTACCCGGAGAATTCCATGAAAAAAAAAATGTGCCGACATCCATTTCACGATTCGTTGAGCGTCTTTTCCGCAGAAACGCGAGGAAATACTCGAATTTTTCCGTGAGTGCATCCTTTCACGTTACACTGTGCTTCCTCGTCTCTTAAAATTCAATTGAGAGGAGAAAAATCATCGGTAAAATTTGTTCAAACAGCTTCGGGCTTCCGCCGAGTACACATTATCCCTTCTTTCAGAATCAAGTCCTCGAAAATTTCGGGAAGTGCCTTATTATTGTCGATGTCAATAGTTAACGAACAATCGCTAAAACTCCACAGCTGTTTGAACAAATATTGGATTGAGACGATTATTAATTATATTTTAACAACTGGAGGGGAGTAAACATATTGGTACGTCAATAAAACCGTATGATCATGGGCATGAGGGATGAGGCATGACCGTTTTAATGATTAATCCCGGCGGGAGGACATCCGGAGATAACAATCTTACGAGGGTGAGACATTATCTCGACGTATGGGGTAATCGCAAAGGTCGCAAATAAATTGTGGAGTCGAGACAATTTTCATTGTCTCAATAAATCGAGGACCCGCCGCTCTCTCAATTGTCCTCGACCAATTATAAATAGTTATCGATGAATGATGATAAAATAATTACAAATTCCCCACCATTCTTCTCGATTAAAAATTTCACTGCAGCTGATCCTCTCGCAATTATCTATCCCCGTTTGAAAAAAAATGTGTAAAAATATATTTCGAATTCTAGTGAAAAAATGATAAAGAGATGCAGAAGTTAAAAATTAATTAATAAAATTGAGGGATAAATCAGAACGGAACATCAACACTTCCTTTTTCTAGGGAATCTCGTTTCCATCGATAATCTCTGTAATCTTGAGTGCCATCACGAGGGAATTATCTTGAAACGACGGAGAGGAAAACGACGTGAGACTCGCGGATCGCGCGAAATTATCTTGACATTCTGGTGCAACCGCATATCGATCCGCCGTACTATTTCTCCCTGGTTGTACCTGTCTTGGGTATTTTTGGTACCTCAGAAAAAAAAAATGGAGAAGAGTCCAATGGAACCTCACGTTTCTCTTAATGATTACCATGAAGATTATTTAATTACCCGTCCCATCCAATTTTTTAAAATCATTCAATTAATTCCGAGCAAAATATACGGTACTAAAGTTTTATTATTATTTAACTTGTTAATAATATTTTGTAGTTCACCTCGAATTCATTCGCGAGAAAGTGATAGGTAGATAGAGGAAATAGCTTCTAACCCGCATTCTCGCTGCTTCGCAGATCGATTTTATAATAGCGTTTATTCTTCCTCTAGGGCGGAGTTTCGAGTGGTAATGCGAGTATGATTCATTCTGCGGTTTGTTGCCCCGAGGGCAAGTGAAAGATTTATGAACATGAAGCACATAGTCTAAAATCTAGATGAACGCGAGAAATTTCTCCACCAGTAAAGATGAGGAAATTCCATCAGTGAATTGGGAAAAATATCAAGGGTTTCATGAGGCTCGTTGAGAGATTCTCGTTCGAATTGCGAGGAAAACGTACGTTTTATAGAATGGTCGAAGCGATATTGCTCATCGGGTAATTGCAACTCATCCCCAGTACTATTAAATCCCGTAGATCCCGTGGATTTATCGCAAAGCCCGTGGACACCATATGGTCAGAGATAAATTACACATTCTGTTTTTAATCTCCACGATAACATCTCGGTCTGATAATTACCGCCATGTCCTGTTTATTATTGACAATATCCAATATTATTGACAAGATATTCGGCGAATAATTTATAAGGGAGTGACATTTGTTTTTTTTTGTAGTAAAAAGCTCAGGATGAAGTACACTTAGAATTATTTCACTAGCAGAACTGTCAGGGCTCCTTTCACAACGGATTTTACACGTTTTATCATACAAAAGTTAGTCGCTCTGTATTGTACGTGTAGCTCATTCCCTTCGCCGAGAAGAAACAGTGAAAAGTATTCTTGTATAACGTAAATCCCCAGATCCTTGTTATACGCGACTTAGAGCTTTTTATTTTCAGCGGAACGTGTACTCGCGTTCTTCTTCGCTTCTTTATTATCCCCTTCAGAAAACTTCACGGAGAGATTCTCGTCAAACTTGTGTTTTCTCTCTAGAGTTAGTGAATCGTAAATCATACCGTTGATTGTTCCAGAATATTTTGTTCATTGTGAAGAATTATATAAATTAAATAAAATAATGCAGTGAGAAAAAAAATTTTCATTTGCCCTTTGTGTATTTTCTCATCATTAAATCTGTACTGTACAAAGACTTCCAAATTTTTAGAAACAAAACCCACGACTATATAATAACTACCAATTAACATTCAACTGTTCTCCCTCAAAATTGTGTCATTAAAAAAAAAATATATCTTTATAATCCCCTGGAAGTTTTTATTTCGTGAAAAAATTTTTTGAATATTTTCCAGAGATTTTTCTGAAATTCAGAAAAATTATTTCAAATGCAAAAATTCTTGATAATTATTGACGATTATTATTTATAATTATTGTTGATTGTAGGATTTTTCCGTGAATCGTATTCGATGGTCTAATCTCTCGTAATCAGGCGGATCTCGAAAATTCTGGGTATGGAGATAATCAGAGCGGTCAAACTCATGAGCAAATGATGAATAGGAGCGGACCGAGCCAAATTTTTTTTTTTTAAGGGTTGAGGGATGATAAAGGAGACAAGTGTACGCGCCAATTGGCAGGCGATTGTGTCAGCGCGCGCAAGTTTCTCCAACTGATACCAAAAAGCTAGCATCCAATGTTCAGTGTACGTCGCGACGCCGTTCGCACTGCGACGCCGACTCCATAAATTTCAAGATGCTGCCATCATTCAGCGAGTGACTCAAACAATTAACATTAATCCGTCATTTAAATAATCCAGCCCCTGAGAATTTCCAGTGCAGTTTCCATTACCTTCCATGAATTTTTCGAGGATGTAGATAAGGACGGGGATAACGAAGGTGCAGAGAAGATCTTGTGAGTAGACAATTGCTCTGATAATTATTCCTCAAAGTTTACTCTTAATTATCCAAGAATTTTGTTGTCATGAAAAATCAGTGAACTCATTGACTTATCTGAAGGGACAGGATTTTGACTAATGGAGGAAGAAATAACTAATTACTTTGATTAGACATTCAGTAATTTAGTGATTAACTGAATTTTTTATTTGAATAAAAACATTATTTCGTAGTACGTACTGATATTTTTTTATTTGACCCTCTAGATTTTTCGAGTCCATCACCTATTCTCTCCTTTCCTCCGTTTTCTCTTCATTTTAAGCTTTCTTTATTTTTAATGGATTCACACCGCTGAAAAGAGTGAAGTCGATCCCATTGACGAGCATTACTACAGAATCTCTTCCATTGAGTGAATTTGTACAGTCAAGAGGGAGTCCTTAATTAAAGACTGAAAATTGATTGCAGTCTATTTCGAGAAGAAATGATTCGATCGGAGTTTATTCTTCAATTATTCGCAAGCCCGTCTATTTGTGATTCAATACTTCAATGAACAGACGAACTAATTTCGGTAATTATTCCCATGTGCAATATTTGGGGGGCCTTGGGGCCAGTTCTCCACAGAATTTATGAACACGTTGGATAAACAAAAAATGGGTGGAGGAAACTCTGCTGGTGAGATCAAAAGTGATTACCACCTTGTCGAAGACAAGTTTACTCAAGCACTCCTCTTTACTCACCAGTTGGTGTGCGTGCTCTTAATAACGGGGGGAGGGAAGTCACAAATTCAAGGCATAAATACACTATTTACCCGGCGACTTCCGCATGTTCTCCATTCCATCCGGATGATCAACACGGGGGGAATAATATTTGCAATACAGCGAGATGAAAATTCTGGAATTCTTTCTCATCCTTTTTTGAAATTCCACATCCTGAAATTAATCAGAGGGTAAATGGAGAAACGGTGAATGTGAAAATGGAAATTATTGAAAAGAAATCGATGGAGATCGCTTGTATTATAGATGCTCGGGTTAAAAAAAAATTGTAATCGCAATATTTTTTCCAAATTTTAAAAAAATTTCGGGAAGACTTCTCAGAGATTTTTTTTATGAAATAAAAAAATCGGAAAACAAAACAATTTTTTTTTTCAGATAGGTTTTGGTAAATTTTTCCAAAATTCGAATAGGAAATTTTTTTTATGATTTACATGGCGTACTTTTGAGAATATTGAAAAATCAAAGAAGTAAAAAAACAACAGTATAATTTAAAAAAAATTTCCGAAATAAATGTTGAAAATTTTTTTAAGGCATTTCCCAAAAATAAAATTGTTTTGTTTCCCTATTTTTTTTTTGTTTCAAAAGGATAATTTTCTGAAAAGATTTCCAGAGGTTTTTGAAAATTTTGAAAATATATTCAAGAAATTTTTTGAAAACATGGAAAAAATATTCGGATAAAAATTTTTTTTAACCAGGAGCCTTTTACAGTTCACAAACATTCCGGGATATTTCAGATGATGAGCCTTATTGAAATAAAGTCAATGAAACCGATATCTTCCGCTACCCGCTCTCACCACAGGAAATAACACATATGCCTCGAATTTTATTTCGGAGTAATCGATAAGGCTTCAATAATTTCTCATCGTCTGATTGCAAATGGTCTCGACATTTATCGGCTTAATAATTATGTGGTGGAGGTCGATATTGATGACTCGAGTCGGTGAAATTATTTTCACTTCAAAAAAATCATTGAAATAATGATTAAAAAATTTCACCCTCTGCCCATCTTTCCCCACTGTAAAATCAATTTCAATGTACCAATTACGTTTATTCTCACTGCGACTACGTGCCAATTCTCATTATTACGGTGCTGTTCCACTGGGACGATACGTATATCTACTGAGGGCGGATTGTGCACCGAGACATTGAATCCTGAGAACCCGAAGAATTTCATTTAACCTTCTGCTTCCAAGTTTTTCGCTGAGTGAATAGAAGTTTTTCTCTTTGAAAACCGAGGTTGAGAGGCTCCACCGAGTTTTGATTACAGAAAATTGTTGAATTGCCCGCATTGTGAATCTAATGTTCAACTGAACATATTTCAAATCAGTAATTACCAAATTAACGTAAAAAATCATTATCCGGGTAATCTTTATTCGGATTCACTTGATTTTTCGTTGATTTCAAAAGAATAATTGAAATTTTCAGTGGAACAATTTTTTTTTCATTTTTGGATGACCAACCCACATGAAAAATGATATAATCTAAAAATTATTAACTTCATAAAATTACCTTTCATAAAATTAACTTTCCTAAAAAAAAATAATTAACTTCTGATTAATAGATGTTTTTTTTTTGTTTACTGTATTATTAATTGTGGTTCGTTAGTCAGCTATCGGACCTATAACTTTATCAATTTATTTTCTATCTTTATTCTTGGGAGATCTCGTCGGGAGATTTTTTTTCAGGGGATTTTATCTGCGAGATTATTGCCTGGGAGAATAACTAGTATAATCTATATATAAAACCATGAGCAATATTCCACTTGTTATTCGGTATAGCGCAATGTAATCGACAAGGTGGATGATTGAAAATGTAAGAGGTAACGGGTAAGATTGTTGAAGTAGATTCTCACCAGATTGACAAGACATCGCCGCAACCCCTTGCGAACGCAGAGTGTTTCATCCAACTGTCGGAAGCAAGGACTCCACTCCTTCTCGGAGAGCCCTCCAGCTCTTTTTACCCGGAAAAACCTGGGAACGAGGCACATCGAAAACCCCAGAGAGTGCAATTCTATCATGGATAACAAGACAGTGTAACTGCGGTAGCCGACAGCTGGATAGACACGTGGATTATTACAGGATTCATATATCAATGCGCTATAATTTCACCGACATTTTCTCCCTCATCAATAATTTATACTCCCGGGGCGAGCCGTCATTTGCTAGTCAATTTACTTCTCATTATTGAGGGACAATCAATTACCATTTTAAAAAATCCTAATGCCTAATAATTCCTAAAGATAGCCATTGAGATAGATAATAATTGGGAATTTATAAAAAAATTGTAATCGGATTGAAAAATCAAAAAAGTAAGAAACTATCAGTATAATGAAAAAAAAATCATTATATTCGCAAAAATTTCTAGAAAATTATCAAAAAAATTTGCCTATTCAAATTTTTGAAAAATTTTTCAAAACATTTCCCACAAATACAATTGTTTTATTTCCCACTTTTTTTTGTTTAAAAAAAAAATTTCTGAAAAGTTTTCCAGAAATTTTTGAAAGATTCGGAAAAAATATTTCGATTACAATTTTTTTTACCCGGGTATCGGAATGAGTGGAAATGTCACATGATGAGAATAAATATAAAGCATAATAAGATCTATAATATTTAAAAAAATGGAAATTGTTGTCTGCGTGTGGGAGTTGTAAAATAGAGGAATTAAGGATAGATATCACATTGAATTTTTCTCATGTTTAATTCATGTTCTGAATAATTCACGACTCCTACATGTCATTCGCTATCACAGACACAAGCGAATCCACTCGCATAAATTCACCTGCTTGTGGAGTTACCAGAGATACGAGTTATCCCAATTTTCCATATTTACTCGTGTGCTCTGTTGTAATTAGACCCACGTGGGGAACAATGAATCTCCAGACGGAAGAATATCCTCACTCGTTCATCACGTTGAATTTATTCAAAGTGTTAATTATAGACTGTAATTTGGGTAATGAAGATGTCTATTAACATTTCATGCCCTCAATTATCGCGCGAGTGCACGTGTTCTGTAATTCAACACCGGCATTATCATTGCGGTTATTACTCGTGCACTTGGATTTTATTGGACAGCATTTCTGTACATCGTAATTTTTTAGGTGAATTTTTATTAAAATTATTTGTCTGAGTGCAGATTTTCAAATGAATGCACACGATGAGGTGCTCCTGGTGGCAGAGTATTTTCTTCAAGTGCTTCCCGGAGACTAGTTCAATTACAACTTGAAATATGAAAAGTTTTTCCTCCTCAATTGAAAGAAATAATGTTTCTCCAACTTTGCCATCCGGAGCATATCAGGTAAAACATTAATTTCCACTCTGTTTATGAAAAACTTATCGTTTTTTTTTGTGAACTCATGCGCTGGGAAAAGCTCGTTTAGTTTATGAGTGGAAGTGCAGCCTGGGGGCTCATATTTGCAGTGAAATTTATAATCTAAATGCTCAGAAACATATTTCGAGTATCTACCAGATATTTTTACCCATCGCGATTGGTCTGTGCGATTTGAGTTTCGCAGAATCTAGACGTAAAAATTTTCAAGGGTTAAGGACGACCCGGGGTAATTATAATTCCTGATAATTGAGCGATTGGCGTTTTTGTCGGTGTACGTAAAAAATTTTTCCGTGAAAACGGACGGAATAAATTCTATCAATTTCGTTGATAAATTAGATCAATACATCGTTAATGATATTATCAATGGACGCGCATCGATAATGCAATTACGTTTCTAGGGGATCGGGATGGGATATTGTGGATAGAATCATTATAGTTTACAGCCACCGAGTATAAACGGGGGACATAACGGGATGGGGTCGTGGCACTCATTGTTCAAAGACAATTCAGCCCTCATTACCTCGGTGATTAAAGCGCTCCATTGGTATGGAATCCACTGGGGTGACAAAAGGGTTCAGGAGGTCAGGGCAACCTGTACATGAGAACCCGGTGATTACCTTCACCTGAGGGTTATGATGATTTCTGAAATTCAGAAATACTCGACGAAAATTAATCCTCATGCTGCTCTCAAACTGCGCAAAAAATAAAAAAAAAAACAATTTGTTGAAAATAAAAAAAATGATAATTTTGAAATATTCCAAAAATTTTCTTTTCCTTCCAGAAAATTGTAAAAAAAAATTGTTCAACAAAAAAAAGACCGAAAATTTGACGAAAAATGATCGAAAAAAATTCGCAAAATTGTTTTTATGAGATAAAAATAATTTTTCTGAAAGTTTTTCCATTTTTACAAAAATCTTTCAAATTAATTTTCCCGTACAAATTTTTTATCACTCGAGTCGTTTTGTTCGTTAAGCTTTTTGTCGATGCAGCTGATGTTAAAACTCCCGGGGCAAAATGGGCTCCTCCTTTTGAAATCAAAGTAGGACGGAGGAATGGTCCTCCGCTTTTTTCACTATCCTCCGAGCTCAGGGAATCGATATCCCATTGTTTTATGTCGCGAGAGTGGAGCACTCTTCTCATTCCGATTCAATAATCCCGGATTTTATTTATTTACATTGGAGATTCTCGTTTTATATTTGCTGATGTCTGCGTTGTTGCAAAAAAATTGAAATTTTCGTGGAGTTTGCACAGTGAAAATGTCCAAGCCATGCACTCGGATGACAAAGCAGTTATTTTGTTGTATATTTGTTTATATAAAAAACCAGAATTCGTGAAAAAAAATCTACTGAGTAGGAGTGCAATTTTTCCATATTTATATAAATTTCAGAGGAATACGAATGCAATGGTACGTTTTGGAGGATAAAATAGAGTACAATAAATATATAAAGATGAGAATCGATACAGATCTATAAAATTTACAATAAAAATTTCATTGAATTAAAAAAAAAATATCTGCAGGTCTTATAGCTGTTGCGGGGGAGTGAACGTTGCCTGAAGAGAATGAGTACTTTATTCCTGTTGGTGTTGAACCTTTTTGCTGCTGGAGTCAGTCTAGTTGATGGAAAGCTGTACGTGAACATCAGCGGGGATATCACCCTGGGAGGGTTGTTTCCTGTTCACAGGAAGGGAAGTGGTGGCCAGAGGTGCGGAAAAATTCAGGTGAGGGTGTAATTTAAATTCAAGGAATTATTAAATTGGATTTGGAGAGAGCAAGAGCTGGAGTGGTCTCGAGTGCCACTTGGAGGAAACACTGAAATCTGGCCCGAGTCCAGCGAAATATCTGCAGAGAACTCGATCGATTTTTTCCTCCGTACGCATCATTCAACCCTTTATTCTATCTTAAAACTCGTGTACCTTTGGTTACAGTGGGAGGATGGCATCCAGCCCCTCGAGGCGATGCTCTACACGGTGCAACAGATAAATCAGGATCCCAAACTTCTGCCGGGGATCAAACTCGGAGCACTCGCCTTCGACTCTTGTGATAATGCTAATTACGCACTCGAGCAGGCACTCAATTTTGTCAAGGGTGAGCAGTGACTCATCGATTTTTTAATTTTATCAATCCATAAATTCCCAGGCAAAAAAAATTTTAATTGGAATATTTTTTCCAAATTTTCAAAACATTTCTGGATAATTTTTCAAAACCTGTCCCAAAAATAAAATTGTTTTGTTATCCGATTTTTGTTGTTTTTTTTTTTGAAAATTTTTTACCCAGGTTATTTCTCGAATAATTAAATTCGAGTGCTAAATATTTAATTGGATGAATTTGTTCAATTATTTTTTTGTATATTAAGTTTAAAAAAATATCTTAAAACTTCTCAAGTCTCAAAAACTCAACACTATAGAATGAAATTATTTATTTTTCTGTTTCGACATTAAGATTGTCTTTATGATTTTTTGCAACATATTTATTAAAAACTAAAAATCACGATAATCTCTTAATCGAACAATCCATAGGTTTCATAGCTCACGTGAATGAATTCCACGAGCAGGAATTTCAGTGCTCAGACGGAAGTATCCCAAGATTTCGGGGCGGTGGTTTTGACAAAGTCGTTGCAGTACTTGCAGCACAGTCTAGTTCCATAACACTGCAGGTGAGTGCATCACAAACAACGAAAAACCGATAAAATATTCGAGGGTTGATGGATCAAAAGCCACACACCCGCGAGCCTTCAATTATCCCACCCCCATTCCCTCCACCCCGTGGTACAAATAATCCTGTCAAAGGGCTGTACATTTACCCACCCCCAAACACTCTCCCATTTTCTAACACATTTGCCCAGTTTTCCGGACTAATTTAATTAGCAATTAGCCTCGGCAACGACTCGGTAGATTCTTATGAGGTAATCCATTGGGTAAATTCAATCGACAGGGTCTCATGGGGAAAAAGTTCTCCAACAGAACAAAACATTCTCGAAACTCAATAACACACGTATACTGACCCGAGAAGCTTTCAGGCGGACATTCAATTTGTCGGAGCAGATTTAAAAAAAAAACCTCGCCCTGATAAGTAAATGTGATTTACGGTAAAGTGAGTTTAGAACGGCGAGGAATTCACGACCGTTTCATATCCCCTATTTTTGTTGATAATTAACTGTAACTGAACACGAAGAGAAATAATTTCTTGATTCTGTGAAAAAATCCTTGAAAGCAAGAGAAGAGTCTTTGGAATTTTCTGTTCGTGGAGTAGAAATTTATTTGTTGTTATTTCTTTTATTTTTCAATATTATAATTGTTGAGTTAGATTGTTCAGACTGGAAGAGGCCCAAAATTTGAATATAATTGAAGAAAATGGGATTTTTTATGAATGACAGGTTGCGGCGATGCTACGTTTATTCACGGTGCCTCAAATATCCTACATGGCGACAAGCCCTTCACTGAGCAACAAAGAGCGATATCCCCATTTCTACAGGACTGTACCAAGTGACGTAAATCAGGCCCACGCCATGTTAGCAATATTGAAGTGAGTTTTTAAACTCCCCCGCTTCAACTTTATTCAAATAATCAAATTAGCTCACAAATTGATAAAATCAGTTAAATTTAACTCGGCATTTTCCTCAATTTACCTCAATCACCTCGAGAACTATTTATTATATTCATAAAAAAAAACTCGAAGGGCAGAGAATTTTTCCAGTGAATATAATTTTCAATGAATATCTTATGATATTTCAACCTGAAAAAAAATATTCAGTTTATCTCAGTTTGTGATTTTAGTGTTGAATTGAGTAATTACGATTGGATGGTTAATTTTTCTAGGAGATTCGAGTGGACTTATGTGTCAGCGATTTATTCAGACACGGAATACGGAAATCATGGGTATGAAACACTTGTCTCGCTGGCGAACAATTATTCCATCTGCTTCAGTGCACCTCAGAAAATAGACAAGGAGCGCTTTACCGATGAGGACTACAAGAACGTCATTCGGACAATCGCGAATACGACTGAAGTTCGAGGTTTTCAATCGATTTCAAGTTATTCCATACCCCTTTGTCCTGTAAACCCTATGTCCTCGTGGCAGGGAGCCTTTGTTCGGCCCTGACACCCAAAGTTTTGGCAGAGTTGCGAACTGCCGATGGGGAAGGCTGGAATATTCATTTAGCATGAATTTGTCAGTGAGAGAATGATCCCGGACTTTGGATAAACGATTTGTAGTGGTAGTGATAGTTGTTTCACCAGGGATTATAATTTTATAATTCTGAACTGAATTCAATCAATCCAGCGGGAGAATTTAATTTTTCAATTAGTTTGCCATCAGTTGTTTCAATTATTTAATTGGATAATTAAATTTTATCGAGCAGTCGTGGTGATCTTCTCGGAGAGGAGCACGACTTTACGAGTGCTGGAGGCAGCACGAACCCTGGGATTTGAAACGAAATTCGTTTGGATCGGCAGTGATGCGTGGTCCAATACCAATCACCGTGAATTCATCAACACCTTCAATCAGAACAAGGGTGAGGAGAAGGTGCTCGAGGGTGCTCTTGCTGTTCAGCCCTTGTCGAGGCATCTCGCTGGATTCGATGACTACTTCAAGAGCCTTCGTCCCGATCACCAAGCAATTAATCCTTGGTTCGGGGAATTCTGGGAGGACTATCACAGGTGCAATCAATCAGTCAATGTGAGTGCTAAATGAAAAATTGTCATTACAATTTCTGAGACTGTGGAATAAAGTGGCAATTGTCAACGGCAGGATACGTCATGCAGCGAAAGTGGCTACAAGCAGCAGAAGTTCCTCCACTTTGTACGCGATGCTGTTTATGCTATAGCGCATGCACTCCACGATATGCAGGTGAATGTGTGCGGTAAAAATCATGTGGGTATGTGCGACAAGATGAGGCACATTGATGGTGACACTCTTTCGCTGTACTTGAATGCGGTTACGTTTAAAGGTGAGAGTGCTCTGCGCAGATTCACTATTATTTCTCATTAAATCAGTAAATTTTTATCTTCTCAGTTCAATTACTCACTGTCACTTGCTCGATAATCAGTAGAAAATAATTGCAGAAAATCTGTGAATTTAATTCCGCACCGCAAAAATATTCCTGAAAATATTTATCGATTGTGTTTTTCAATCAGATGAGGCGGGGAGTCCATTCAGATTCGTTAACAACGTCGACGGACCCTTGAGGTACTCTATCCTGAATTTTCAGAGGCACCACGATGGAACGTACCACTGGCACGTTGTCGGCAATTATACACGTGAGTGAGAGAATTGCAATTTATTGCAATAAACAGCATGGGGAGGGTATGAGAATCGGACGATTGTTGGGGTCATTAATATGATGAGGGAACATCTGGGGAATGAAGACGACAGAGTGGAAAGCACAGGAATAAGTAATTACAAAGACAAACGATTGAAGGTGCGGAGAAAATTGAATGCTCGAACTATCAATATACCAGAATCCATACGGAAACATTTTGGGCGAGCATCTCTAATCGATTTTCCCTCGGCATTTCTCCTCATGAATTTTAATTAAACATCAGAGCTTTTCATGAACTCAATCTCTCCATCAGCTGACGTTTTATAATGACTTTGTAATTAAATTTTCTGGACGACTAAAATGAATTTTTGATTGGCAACGAACATTAGGTTTTATTTTCAGAAAATAAAATTAATAAGCTATCGATTATCTTGAGTGAGACATCAGTATGGACTTATGTAATTATGAAAATTTGGGCCCAGGAGGTGATAATGGAGAGCCGATTCTGTACATAAACTCAACCCTGATGAAATACAGAAGTCAGGGTGAGTTGGGCCGGAAGTTCTTTCCGAACTCGACGTGTTCGGAGACCTGTCTTCCACATCAAGTGAAAGTCCGGGAAAAGGTGGACCCGTGCTGTTGGAGATGCAGAAACTGTGGTCTGTATCAGTGGAAAGTGGATGATCACAGATGTGAGGACTGCGAATGGGGAACTAGACCAAGTGGTGGTGGAAAATTTTGCGCACCCATCGACGAGGACTTCATCGATTACTCGAGTCCGTGGGCGGTCGGAACCATGGCAGTAGCCAGCTGTGGTAACCAGAAAAGCCATTTCCCCGTGCATAAAGTGCCTAGAGTTTGACATCATGAAAGTTTTACCCCTTGCTATAAAACCTTCATTGATATCGAACGTAAAAACGTCGTGGCAATTGTAAAAATATCCCTTCAGGCATGTCATCCTTCCCTCCTTTCATTCTCAAATGTTTTTCTGTACATTCACCGTTGAATTGATAACTTCTTGTTTCCCGGACTCTTGCTCCAACTATTTCATCCCTCTCCCCAGTAATTAACAATTGCAGAAATTGAAGATTTAAGTCAGTTCGAATTGTTTTTGATTGAAATCACAGCAGGCGCTCCGATACTTATAATTAATAGCTACCACGGGGCAATTAATATCCTGGATTCCAGCAAGAAATAATTAATCGTCAATTATTTTCTTAAATTACCTTAGAGAACAGTTTAAATTATTTAATCGTAATTGTAGAACTTTCGAATGAGTCGGTCCATTGATTTGTACAATTAAAAATTGAAAAAATGATAATAGATTCAATGAAAACATTAAAACCCCTGGCATTATTTTTTTATGCCATCCACGTAAAACGACGAATCCATTCGTGTTTCCAGGAATTTTATTAACGATATTCGTCCTATCGGTGTTCTGGATCTACAGTGATACACCAGTGATAAAGGCGTCAGGTCGTGAATTATCGTCCCTCTTGCTGCTGGGGACTTTGGTGTCCTTCCTCATGACATTCGCGATGGTCGCTGAACCGACTACAGAAACCTGTGCAATCACTCGATTCGGTATTGGCCTGTGCTATACCCTCTGCTACGCAGCCCTGGTAACCAAGACCAACAGGATCCACAGGATCTTCAACAAAAAATGCCAGAGCCCCCACAAGCCCAGGTACACCAGCCCCAAGTCCCAGCTCTGCATCACTGGAATTTTAACTCTCGTTGAGGTGATTATAAATGGAATTTGGCTGCTACAAGTTCCACCAGGTATTGCACATTCATATCCCACGAGGGACTCAAGGCTGAGGATCTGCAAGGGACTGGACGATAGATCTTACATGGTGGGATTGATTTACCCATTCATGTTAATCGGTGAGAATATTTTGATGGAACAAAAAATATTTTCAAATTGAAGTGAATAATTTCAACATTTATTCATTCATGAGAACGAAAAAATACTGTAAAGCAGAGCTCAAATAAAAATGTGTAACGTGAATAAATTTTTGTCGCAGTGGCCTGCACGATATACGCTATTAAAACTCGAAAATGTCCCGAGGGATTCAACGAGACGCGCCACATAGCATTCACCAATTACACAACGATGGTCCTCTGGTTGGCATTTGTACCGCTGTACCTCGCCTCGACGAATAATTCAATTCGAGTCGTTACACTGGCCCTGTCCCTTTCACTGAGTGGTCTGGTACAACTTGGATGCTCATTCTTCCCAAAAGTTTACATTGTCCTGATGAAACCGGAGAAAAATACCAAGGAACTCGTTATGGCCCAGCACAGGAGCTCATCATACCTGGCGACTCCATCAGCAACACCCATCGTCGTACTCAATGGTAATCCCTTCTTGTTTCCCACATCACCGAGAAGGGCGTAAAAGTTCGTACTATTTCAATCATATCTCCTTTTTGCCACGACGCTAAAGTAATGACCATTGATTCTTTATTTAATAACAATATTAATATAATAATCGTCCAATCGGAACCCAAACTTCAATCACCTCCTCGGAGAAAAAATTGTTTCCTATTTTCTCCAGGTCATGCTATACAATCCAGCATGAGAGAGAGTCAGTCATCCCTGCGGTCCTCTAGAGTCAGCAGCAATGCTTCAAATTTCTGTAAATATCGAACTGAACGTTAAAAAAATTCCCGATATCAATAAATAACTGAAGAATTATTTGTTTTAGATAATTTGAAACCTCTGATAATCGACTCAGATACTGGGTCAATCGAAGGAACAACAGAGAACGCAAGTGACTCCGAGATAATATCGTCCTAAAAGCATCTAAAATTAGCCTAAATTCCGATTACTGCACTGTCAAAAAAAAAAATTCCTAATGGAGTTTTCGACAATGACTGTCTTCCTGCGATTAATTGATCGATAAAATAAAGTTGACCCATTCTACAGAACTAGATTGAACGGATTAAAAGCCTTCAGGACCAAAACTGATCTGTTGAATTGAAACAAACTGGAAAACATATCGTTAAATTAAGAGAAATTATGAATATTAACGACGTAGATGTTAAGAGAATAATTGTTCAAAAGCATATCGCGTACATTGACCTAGTTGTAATAACAATTCACAATTCAATATTTCACAATGATTAAGCGGGCTGTGTAATTAATTACAAATGCGGGTATTATAATAGAATATATGGAGACAAACGCTTGGCATTTTTCTTCAATTCAATCCTAGAAGTGTGGAATAATTATTGTTCACTGGGGACTTCGTTCGTGTAGATGTCATTATTAAACAATTGGAAGCTTAAGTGGAATATTAATGAGCGGCGAGGGGAGAGGAATTTTATATTCAACAAGTATACGACATATCTTAGTTGTTCTGTTCTCATGTGCCTGATTGTTATATTTCTTTTATTTTAACGGAATTGTATATATTTGTACATATATGTGGAGGAAATAAACTATAACAGCATCAAAATGAGTTCAGCAATACAATAATACGTATTATATTAATATTTTTAAAGAATTTAATTGCCAGAAAAAATATTTCATCCTTCAAAAATCTTTATTACCAAATATATACAAAAAATTCCAATATTATCATCTCAACAAATCACAAGTACAATATTCAATAACTCTATGAAGAATTTCATGTTAAAATGATCTATTCAATTCACACGACGTTTAAATCCGAATTACATTTGAAAATAAGTGCCACAGCGAATTTTCCTGGTTTTAATAACGCTTGACATCAGAAGGCACTTAATGACAAGGAATAAAAATAGATTGAAAACTATAAACTTAACTACTGGAACATGAACTCACTGTACAACAACTTATCGAGATAAATATTAATGTGATGGTGAGTGGTATAATATTTCCATAATGAAATAACTCTTATAATTAACGGACGATGATCTATACAAGCTCTGGAAACGATCGATCACATCAATAATAATAAAATTACTCAATACTAAAAATGGAATATTCCATTATTTAAAAAATGACAGAAGAATATTCTATTTTATAAATTGATTTTCCTTTGGATGAACAACTGCTCATGGAATGCTTACTGATATTAATTATTCTAATTAAAAATAGCTTATCAATAAAATTTCAATGCTCACTGGCAATCGATGCAGGACGGATGAAATCATTACCTCGTGGTCGAATGATTTTCAATCGTCGGAAAGGCCGCGTTAATTAATTTCCGCACAACTACACCTTTCATTCCAATTTCCACTCGATAATCCATTTATTCTCGGTATGAATATGAAATTAACAATGCATATCGCACGCACACGATGAGCATGCTTTTATTACCCGGACGATTTAATTACTATTCACAGTAATTAACAATAGTCAGTATGAATTGTTTTTGATTGAAATCACAGCAGACACTACTGCTGCGATACTTATAATTAATAGCTGCCATGGGGCAATTAATATCCTGGATTCTGGAAGACGGAAGACCCATCGGGTAATACTTAAGTAACTGTGCAATTAATCTTGGATTATTTTCCTCGATTGCTTTAAAGTACATATTAAATTATTCAATACTAATTGTAGAATAGTTACAGTAATTAGTCGGTCAGTTTCACCACGAAAACGGAGTAATTAGTCATTTTCTAAGTGCACGGAGAATTTCTTGAGCAATTTCTTTGTACATTTGTTTTTTTTTTCATTCGGTTCTTCAATTTTTATTGAGCAAATTCTGCAATCTCAAAAGTGATATTCCAAGATTTTTTATTATTCAGTTTTGAAATTGTGAAGTTCTGATTGGATTGGATTTGTTTAAAAAATTCATATAGTTATTCAATAATTTTTTTCGAGTTGAGCTGAAATTTGAGTTACTCCCGACTTCGTCTTCATGTCACTCAATTTTTTTTTTATTTGCGGGAATGATTTGAGTTTTCTTACCGGGTTTTCATGCGAAACGTAACCGACCTATGCAAAGCCTGCATTTATTGCACTGCGTTTGCACTCAAGGCCTTTCATGGACGGAATGGCTGATAAGGATTTCGTTACACTTAAGAACTAAAAGTTGGCTCTGGAAATTCAGAGCTCATTAGCAAGTGCTGGGTAAACTAAGTCGATAAGGGTGGAGTTATGTTAAACCATTCGAGATAAAATTAGCTTTCGCTGAATTTACAGAGTAATTAATAGATAGTTTATAGAGTTGAGGGATAAACGATTGATTGGATTTAATATGAATTAAGTCGCACAGCCGCACGGTTCACGATTGCAGCGAACACACATCCTATCGTTAATGAGACAGAGAAAAAAAAATATCTTCCTCTTAGAAAAATATTTCCTGCATCAAGAAACTCTTTTTCAATACACAATTTTTCATCTAATTCACTCAACTTTATCTCTCTGCGAAAAGTGAATATCAATTAATTATAAATTAAATAGTTTTCTTAAAAATTCGTATTCTCACGACGATTAAAAAGTCCTCCCATAAAAATTCATTTTCATTTGCAAAGTGTCAAAAATTGGTTGAAAAGTCAACGGATAAAATTTGAAAATGTGAAAATTCAAAAATGGCATACAAATCGGCCAAAAATTTTGTCAAAGACAATTTTCGAAAATTCGATACCTGGTGAATATCGTCAATGACGAAAATGTCATTTCAGTTGATGGATTATAATTAAAAAGAGCTTTCCTTCTTCGATTTAGCGGTTGCAGTCTCAGGACTGGGGGTCATCGCAGGATTGTCATAAGCATAATCCAGAGTAGTGTCTTCACTGGGATGCCTTCTAGACAAGGGTGTGCTGGTGGTGTTGGGAGTACTAGAAGTACTCACATTAGTCCCATGACCCTGACTAGCAGCGGCCACAGATCGGCTGATAGTCGGCATTGTAAGTTTCAAACCGTTCTGGTGCTTCGGAGGCCCAGCCTCGACGTCGTCTCGTATTTTATTAATTTTTTTCTGCAAAATTAACAAATTATTCATCTGTCGACAAAAAAAGTTGAGTAAACGTTTCTGAAACCCCCGAGGTCCGGTGTAATTCCTCACCTTCGTCCATCTCGTGCCAAAAAATTTCTTCCACACGCCCCTCAGTCTTTTCCCTTTGAGGATCATCCCCAGGTACAGGCAAAAGACGCCGACAAATGAAATGAGAGAGATAACCAGAGACACGTGAATCAGCGTACTTTGCCCATAATCTGAAATAAATAATCTCATGAACCTCAAGTATTTGCCGAATAAATCTAGTAACGAGCCATCATTCACAAGACATCCCCGAATGATAATAATCTGGCATTTGTTTCATCGACTCAACTCGAGAGAATAAAATTCTCGTAAATTTGGAAAGGACAGTTACGCCCGTCTGGCGCTGAAGTTTAGGTTTTCTTATGGCTATTAACCCAGTAGATGGATACCGTCCAGATCACGTTTATCGACTTTATTACGTTCATCCCCCCAATCCGCCCCCAGGAGGTGGTACTTTTCACCTCACGTTCCTCAGGGTTTAAAAAAATCCCATTTCCCCCGGTGATTGAACGATCCCATGTATACTTAATTTTTTTATTCCTCACGAAGAGCATTAACGATCTTCTCGCCGTTAAACTCTTTTAAAGCGCGGGTAATTATTGCCGCTGTGATAAAACATAAAACGCTAGTCATCGGGGACCCGGCAATTAACGGTGCCAACTGCTATCGCTCCTCCTCAGCTTCTCAGGATACGACATTAATAATATCGCGTGCACTATTATTCCAGCACGCCCTTATAAGACCGAATTGCGTGCTGACCTGAATAGTCAAATACCAGTCGTGCTAACGATTTACGAAATGATAACACCATTTTTCATTATCAATTGTTCCAGGAGAACTTACATTTTTCCCCTTCACTCCTCCTGTGGAGATTTCCTCATAATTACCACCGTTAATTATTTTCAGTTGTGATAAATTGGCGAATGTGTTTTTTTCTTGAAAAAAAAAAAAATTGGCACGATCTGCAATCCCTTGGAATCACGTCCCTAATCGGAATCCCGTTTCTCCGGAGATGACTCACGGAGTCAGTCTCATTAATATTCAAAGTGTGCAACAACTCACCTCTGGAGACGACGTCTCTCCCCAACTCTCCACGAAGGACGTACCTCTGATCGTGGAGGAACTCTGGAATGGATGAAAAAATTAATCAACACTTTCAGGATAATCTTGACGCGTGACAGAACGAAGAACGTTGACGTTTTCAATACATCCGTTATTCTTGGAGGAAAAATTAATAAAATAAAATTAAAGGGGAAAGTTGGGAAGACTTTGAGGGCGGCTGTAATGAGTGAGCGATAACCGTGGCATTTAATGAAGCAAGTTTTGTGGTAGAATCAAACGAGCTTGTGAACGGAATCGAAAGTGCTGGGGATGAGGGGATTAATAGACGCGATAGAACTGTCTGGAGAAATGCTCCAAAAAGTTGGGAGTTGGCGTTTGAAACGCGGGAGCTCGTTAACGCTTTGCGGTGCCAAACTCAATAACTAACGAGAGGTGGTTCCACCACAACCGTCACATTGACGAGTCCTTACAACCTCCTGGTGCCTGAATGTAACCCCTCGAAGAAGTGCAATAAATATCCGGGTAAAAAAAAAATTTTTGCAATTTTTCAAAAATTTTTTGGAAATTTTTTCGGAATTTTTTTTTATGAAACAAAAAAAAATCGAACTAAACAATTTTATTTTTGGGAAAGGTTTTGCATGGACGTCGGTAGCATGCGAGCGTTTGATCATCGTCGGGTTGTCATCAAAGAAACTGACGCCTCGTTGCACCGGAAGTCGCAACTACCGAGTACTTTTAGTACAATTACGCAAGGATCCGGGGAGTGATGACGGTTTTATTGAAGATTTTACTGCAACCTAATGAGAAGCCGACGAAATTTGCAATTATTATAGAACTATTGAAAATATGAAATGTCTCACATTTCTGTAGTGACTGACTTTAGGCGAAAAAATACGCGGAAAAATAAGACTGTATATTGCAATAAAAACAATAATCGAATAAATTCCAGAAAACGTGGTAAAAAGCTAAGACATGCGCGGTTAAACTTCAGTTGTGATGGCAACTACTGGTAAACAGACTATAAATACCCCCCACTCCTGCACAATTTTTTACCGATCACGCGGTGTGCTAATCGCGTAATATCAATGCCCTGGTACCGAGTACTTCAACCGAAAAATCCTCTAAATTTCATTACTCCAATCAACCCGATGTCATGACTTAATTTTCCACTGAAAATCAAACGAATTCGATTACTCAATTTCAATTTTCCATTTTCTTCTCAATTTTTTGGAAACTGCAGGAACTTTCCCTTAATGAAAATCGTCATGAAATTGTCTCGATTTCGATAAATTACGTTTCTTTTTTTTTTTTAAACTATTGAAAATAAGAATAGAAGACCGTGAGGTGAAAAGCGACTCACCTGAGGTACTCTAACTTGACTTTGCACCTGACCATTCGTCTTCCCCTCCCCTGACCATCGAGAATGAGTCATCGACTTTCCCCTCTGCCCCGACAACGCTTCCCGGTCGATCCATTCAACATTCGATTAAAAAAGAGAAAATTTTCGGGGGCGAGGAGGGGGAGGGGGTCAGGTAGATCCCCTGCATTGAGGTGAGAAAACTCGAATTTTTTCTCATAACAATAAAATACGTAAAAAATCCTGAGCTATTGAATTCAGCTGTGGATTTTTTACAGCTGCTCAATTCGGCTTCAGCTATGTCTAGGGTATTTATCTTTGAAGTGAAATAGAATTGTTTTGGACTGTCAAAACATTATTTCCTCATCGAGGAATTTTGCACAAGTGTGACTCACCTCCTCGGCATGTGGATCATGCATATTGCATGGATACCATCAACCTGCCAAAGGTCTTGGAGGGAGAAATCGATTCCCCTATCGCGACTCACAGTTTCCCCTAGTGTTTGCTATTTCCTTCATTTCCAGTTTACTCTATTTTTCTTCGATTCAAGTAAATGTTGAGAATCGTGACCGATGCAATAGGTTTTCGCAAAAAATTTTTTTTGATGCGAATTGAGTATCGATCAATTTATTCGGTATTTACTACAGCCGCAAGATCTAGTCATTCATTATTTCTGATGGAGGATCGATTTCCTGGAAGTCGAGAATTGCATAATATTTTATGAATGAAGTGATGGCCGTGAGTTCTGTCGCATTATTAGTCATTCGATATGAAGTGGAGATGAATGTACTGATTGCAGTATTAGTTGGTCAGTTGCTCAGGAGATTTTTTAATCGTTTTTAATCTGGGGGCTAGGTTGTCGTTAATTATTTGGTATTTGTGGAATTATTCAGCTGTGAGGATCAGGTTACCATCGAGAAATAATTATAACCATCAACAATGTCACTTCCATGAGAGACGAGTTCTCAGGCTGTGGTTGATGTTGATTAATGGATAGCATCGAGATACCTGGTATTTTCCATGGTGATTCAACTTGGATTCAAACCGCAGCTAGACGATGGAGAGTGTACAGATATCTTTGTGGGCATGAAAATACCGCAGGGATTTACGACGGAGTCCTGTCGCAGATTGGGGGATATGTTGGTGTCAGGGCTCTGTACATCCCACTCGTTTTTCATGGGTGAAGAGTGGGTGGAGCTGATGACGGGGTGGAAAATTGTTAGGGTACCGCACAACGAAATGCCGCAATTAAAGGAGCCCGGGTAAAGAAAAATTGTAATCGCAATATTTTTTCCAAATTTGTCAAAAATTTTGGAAAAACTTTGCAGACATTTTTTTTTATGAAACAAAAAAAAAATTGGATATTTTTGGGAAAGGTTTTGAAAAATTTTTCTAAAATTTGAATAGGAAATTTTTTTTATACTTTAGATGGCGTATTTTGTGAGAATATCGAAAAATTGAAAAAATAAAAAAACAGCAGTATAATTTAAAAAATATATATATTCGCAAAAATTTCTAGAAAATTAAAAAAAGAAATTTCAGAAACAAATTTTTGAAAAAGTTTTCAAAACATTTCCCAAAAATACAATTGTTTTGTTTCCCAATTTTTTTTATTAAAAAAAAAAGAATTTTCTGAAAAGTTTTCCAGAAATTTTTTGAAAATTTGGAAAAAATATTCCGATTACAATATTTTTCTACCCGGGAGCGATCACGAATTATTGAATTTTTAGATAATAATTCAATAATAGTTCCAGCACTAGGTCAGTGCAGTGGAATTATTCTTCAGGGTAAACTGGAGGAATACCACGAGGAGGTACACCATGGAGAGATACACCACGAGGTAACTTCTGATTGATTGTTGTTTTTCTTATTTTTTTTTCTAGAATTAATTATTCCGTACTCACCCTGACAGTCTTTGACGCAGATCTCCTCCTGGTAATTGTGACTGGAGGTGTCGCATGCTGTTGCACACGGACGACACTGAGTGTCATAAGGACTGCAATACTCAGTTGTGCTGCACCTCTTCTGTCCACATTTTGTACCAGCTGGGTCCAGAGTGCCCCCCACCCTCGTGATCAGGAAAACTCCGATGATCCAATTAGTCAACATGTTAATTCCTCGATTTCGCATTAATCACGCATCCTACTCCCAGCAACATCTACCGAGAAATAACTTTAGCTGTAGTCGAAAGGCTCGTTCCTGGGGGGGTCCATACTCTGAGGAAAAATATATCGCCAGAATTATCATCACAAAAATTGTCCTTTTGTTTATTTTTTGGTTTCACTGTTGTTTTTTTTATATTATATCGTGCTACAATTGCATTTTTATTGCGAATAATGCGTTATTTTACACGGATTTCCGAAATTCTCCCGGGTGAATTCTCTCGGCATACCATCAAGGAATTCGTACCCTTTTCACTGTGTTCTCATATTCAATCGCACTCATACCCTTGCGAAACCAAATGGGGCACAACACGCAACACCTGAACCATCAACATCAATTGTGAAATTAACATTTTTATTGGTGACAATTGTTGAATTTTTTTTAGACCGGGGGATAACCACGGGAATTCCAACGTCTTCGGAGAAAGTATCGGAGCATTTATTGTGTAATTAAATCGTACAGTAAAATATGTGTAAAATATCGTAATATTTTTTGCCCGAAATTTAATGAGCTAGAAAAAAGTAAATATTAAATTCAAGTTTTCACTATTTAATTGTATTAATTACTGACGAATAGATGAATAAGATGTCAAGTCACTCGGTGATTCTCTACCCCGGAATACTGAGTATACAAGCCACAATTAATTTCCCACATTGACTGACGTGTAACAATATTTCCTGAATTATGTAAATGAACAGTACAAGGACGAGGAAACGTTACAGAGAGGTGAGTCATCGTGTCAAGATAAAATATAATCACTCGTGTCTTTCACCATTTGGTAAATGTCAATACGTTCATTAATGAAGAAATAACACGTACAAGAAAATCTAGAAATTCTTCCACTCCATAAAAACGACATTCCTCAGGATATATCGGTTTCCCATGTATCGCATTCCCGTCTCAAACAAATCGATTTAGCATTAATAAATATAATTGGTAGATTTTTTTCTTCAGTGGAAAAATTACTCGTTAATGGTTGAATCGTTTCACCTCTCGATTAAAAAAAAAAACGGAGATGATGTCATATTATCTTTGATCAGTTGTCGATGCTTATAATTTATTCAGGCAAATACCATGTATCTGAGGAACTCAAAATATCGATTACATGAGTGAATATTCTCTGGTGAAATAAAATCCTTCCCCCGATAGACGGGCAATGCAAGAATGACGAGAAATCGATGCGGAAACTCGAGATGTCATGGGCTAACCGCGAGAACGGAAGTCCCATTAAATAAATGACTGAAATTATCCGAGAATAATGAGAAAATAACGAAGATGCGGAGTTATTCATATTAGGCTGTGAGAATAAAATTCATAGCCCCTATTTTCGATATCTTTTTCATCCCAGTTGAATTTTTCACCGGCACTCGTTTCGCACACTCGATTTCTTACGTAATTTCACACACGATGGAGTTCCACCATCAGTAACTAGTCGCGGTAACGCGGTTTAATCGTTTTCGTATTTTACGTGGCTTTTTGCGAGGCGATAGCTTTTTTTCCACGTGGAAAATACGAGGGACGAAAGTGCCGAGAGGTCATTCAAATTCAAAGGGTTTCCCGCGGGGTTGAAAAAAACGACTGAATTTACGGAGAAATTACACTAAACTCGATTTAGCAGGGATTAATTGGATTTGAGCGGAAAACTAAAATTGCCGAAGCCTGATAATTGGAGAAGAATTTTTATCTTTCGGAAAAACCTAATTTTGAAAGCAGAAGACATTGAGTTATCGGAAATAACAGAAAAATCTGCGCTATAGGTGGGAAATGGAGCAACAATTGAATTCCGATTGGAATTTCCAATAAGTGATTAGGGAAGTCCACCATCTTGAATGGAGTGTTGGCGGGCCGACTCTCCGGTCGGGTGGGTCGGAATGTCGTCCGACTGGTTCTCCATTGCCTCCATCCGACAAAGACAGACCATTGGATACGGCAAAAGTCATGTTTTGTACCTCGAGTTTTCCGGCACCGGATAAAATCACAATCCACACAATGAGGCGGATGTACACACCAGAGGTTCAGCTAGAGTTTGAATTTGCACGCGAAACAAGAGTCATGCGAATTAAATAGTTTTTTAGAACACTGACTTTTTAACAAAACTGAAAAATACGACTTATCACACTTTGTTATTTTTATGCGACTGATACTATCGGTGGTAGTCGCTTAGTCTTTTCCACATTGGGAAAAAATGCACACAAATTACCATGAAAATGACGCAAAAATTGTGGTATGGAACGTAAAAACGAAAACGTCACGTAAGTTTTTTTTTCATTGCAATTATCGAATTGCACAATGAATGCCCCCTCTTCTTAGTGTAAATGAATTTAAAAAAAAAAGGGATCGAACAATGCGGAATTCCAACACAACCTCGACAGAATTCCGGTCTGTTTTATTTCCTCAAAAAATAAACCGAAAATCGCAAAACATTGATACCCCAACTGCAAAGCAGTCACAACAAAATTCAACACGCGATCGCGGCGTGCTAAGAAAAATAAATTATTTATGCGTTGGATGAAAAAAAATATCAGCCCGTGGAAAAAACGAAATTTAATTGAATCGAGGATTCACAATTGCATTCTTTACGTGACGGTCAGCCTGACATTTAAAAAAACCGTCTCCTTAGGTAATAGAAAACGGAAAAACACTTCTTGTAGCATTGACGCTTCCACCAGATCGCGCAAGCGCACTACGTAACTTTCTAAAATCACGATTGATCCTCGATTTTGAATTGTGGCACTTGGATGCACTTACTGGATTATTTATCCCTCTGGAGAAGATTTTTGGTGCAGAACATATTGTTCTGGTTATTTTTTTTGTTGTTCTTTAGCACCTGGATGTATCGACTTCGTGAGCGTGACTGTCGATCGAAAGGCGTAGGACGGTCGAACCGGTCAGGTCGACTCCCACCTTGGGAAGTCAACCTCCCTCCTCTGCACCTGCGGCCGACGTCGGCATCCGATGTTTAACCTGGTAGCCAGGTATTTTTTTACCTGTTGCCAGCATGCGTGCGCAGCCCAAGCGATTGTTCAGGAACAATGGAGGAAAACTCTTGACTTTATTCCGAGAAATTCCAATTAATTCTTCATGAAATACAAATAAAACATAATTACTGCATGCGCTCTTCGCAATTCAATTTTTATTAAAAAACAAAATGTCCAAATATCTGAAAAATTAAAAAAAAAATAAAACTGCGGAGAAATTCGTTATTTAAAATTTCTTTCGATTGACGTTTGAGTAATGATAAACATTTTTTTTTCATTCCATTGAAATAAAACATCTGAAAAATTGATATACATATATATTTATTCATTCATCGTGTATTAAAGGTCCATACAAAGATATAACAATGATCTTCACATATTGCGGCGCTACAGGTGCTCACGTTTATTGCAGATTACAGTTTTGTATGATTTCAATGAAAAACAACAGAACCCAGTGAAAAAAAAAACGAATAAACAGTCGTTCATCATAACCAGGGATATGTCGCAAAGTTTCGTCCTGCCCAGGCGCCAAATAATTCTGACGTTCACTTGAAATTGCGGTAATCCACACAACTGCATTCATATTAAATATATATTCTCAATGAAAATTTCACACCTCCCCTCAATCACTCCAAACTTATTTCCCAATTAATCTCGTTGGGAGAGCAATCACTTACTTAATTTACACATATACATTATATTTCATCGATTAGTCCTCCTGCGATTTAGAGACGAGCTTTCAATAATTATTTACACACGGGATTTTATCTGCAAAAAGGACATCCCATACTATCGTGAATACTTAATCATTTGTTTTTATACATTATAATCTGCTCTGTTCAATGTTTAATTGGAAAATCTTCATAATATTGATCGTCGATGTTCCAGCGCAAACAATGTGTACAATTTAATTCATTAGTTACTCAATTTATTTGGTAGACAGTTTGTAATTAATCACTATCATTAAATATTCATCTTTGTTATTATCATAAGTTTTATTTAAGGAGGATTGTGAACAGTGAGGGGGTTTAATATGAACAATTAATCAGGTGCTCTCACTGCTCACCATCAAAAAACCAAGTTAATTCATTTGCTTTATGTTTTTTCAAATTATAAAATCGCTAATGATGCAACATTGAGTGTTTTGTGCGTTTTTTTTTATTGGGTTGGAGGTGGGGTTTCCAGTGATTTGCGGATTCAATTGGACACTTAGTCTATCGTAGAGACCCTGTATGCGTTTTTTAAATCTTCGGATTTGGTTTGTTTTTTTTATGTTGATGAGATAATTGCCTACCAAGCACGCATTGGAGAAGGTATCAAAGGCTGGTGAATGCGACTTGTCAGAAGTCGCTATCAGAATTAAACTGACGATGGTATTAATACTGATGTATTTGTTAAGTTTTCTTTTAGATTCTAGAATTAAAATACGAGTTAACTTAACTTCGATGCGAACGATCAGGGACGCTCTCAGTCTTCAGTCGCACATCGATGATTCAAAGGTATTTTTTTTTTTTAGATTTCTTCATGCTGTTGCATTGGAGAATTGGTTGGGAATAATTTATTATACTTTCTTGTTCAGGTGTGGGAGACTGGAGAGTGCACTATTGTGGTGGAAGGAAATTATAACGGATAAGTACAGTGCGTGATGTTGGCAGAGGATTCCACGCGTGAAAAAAATTCATTGAAAGAGTTTATTAGAATTGCAATAAAATTTCCAATTTTTTTTGCATTATTCCATTGAGATTTTAATAGCTCTATAGAAATTCTTCGAGATAAATCAATATGTATAGGCATTTCCCTATAAATAGATGTCTATTTAAACACACAGGATATCGCTACATTTTTTAATAGATTATCGCAAAAACAAGTTGAATTTTTTTTATAGAATTCTAATAAAACTCTGATAAATATTTTATCGAGTTCCAGTAGAAACGATTTTTTTCATTAAGTTTTTTCACACGTGTCTGGTCAGATGGATTATCATTTTTATTTTTTAAGGGAGTCATACTGGCCGGCGCTAGAACGGAAGCGAAAAAAAGTTCGTTGGGGCTGTGAGCCACCGTCCACGAACCGTATCTACTCTTTATCACACGTCTTTTTGCTTAATTCATCATGCTTTGCACGTACATACCGATATTAATGACGTCAAGCGCAGAGACGTCTGGGGAATTTATTGAATTTTTTTTTTCTGTTCCGAGGAGTCGTTTGACGGTCCAACAACGGTGGAGTATCCACTGATAGCCGGAAATTGATTGAAGGGCAATCAAGAGGCGCGGTACTTTGATTTATTTATTATTTCAGTAACCAAGGGGTAAAGGATAACAAATCCTTTTGCTCTCAGCCGATTTTTACAGGAATATCTCGGAATCTGTGAGAGATAGCGCAATTTTTGTCCAGAATTTTTTTACACAGTTCACTGAGAACTCCAAAAAAATATTTACAAGAATTTCGCTAACTCTCTCAGATTCGGAGATAATTCATTGATGGACACGTTCTTGAGTCCTGAAAACGTTGGATTTTCAAAAGAAATTGATAATTTTTAATGTTGTAACGTGTGCCTGTCGAGAGCTACTAAAATGTCATGTTTCGTTTATCAAAAAATTTAAGACTAGATTCGAATTCACTGACTGAATTAATACGAATTAGAAAGAAAAATTTCTCCTCTTTATTTATTCTGTTGCATCAGTATCTCAACAGACATTGCATTATCAAGAGTTACTGCCCCTAAATTTCAGTCTTACACAGACCTCTGCGTTTGCCGTTTAATTCGGTTCTATGAATAATACAAAATATATTCTATTTATTTATTTTTTTTCATTTTATCTCATTAATAAATTTTTTGACAATAGTATTTCATTAGTATTAATTCTGGATTCACTTCTACCCAGTTCTCTTCCATTGGGAATTCAAATGGATTGACAATTTTTTCATAACTGCGACTTGAGGAATCAATGTTGAACGACCGCCATTCAATATTGATGATCAATAACCGCAGGTTCAAGGTGCTAAATCATTCGAGTGGTTTTTCGTCTACCAGGGTTGGCCTAAATAGACATATTTACAGGAAAGGCCAAATGTTCATTTACTGACAGTTGATTAATCAACAAATTGATCATCAAAAGGGAATTTCCAATTTTCATATATTTACAAATGTTTGAGGACAGAGAACTGGGCAGAGAATTCTCATGAACATTTTCTGCTCATTTTTCAAATTTATATTGATTACTTTTCACTAAAGGAAAGCCCTACTCTTATTACTAATACAAAGTGCTGTTTTTTTTTTCATAATTTCTCGTCTTGAATGCAGAAGTACCTCGACTTCCTAAACAATTTTTGCATCTCGCAATGACAAAGGGAAATAAATAATCCATGAAAAAATATATTATTAAAGTATCGATAGAACTAGTGTTTCTCGATGAGTTATATTAATACATTGCGTAAGTTATTTTCATCTCTGGACACATTTTCAATTTAAATCTTACAAATTTTCATCGGGGAATTTATCCTCTACGATTAATTACAGCATTGCCCACCACTTCCCCTTGAACGTTGATTGGTGATCAATAATTTTTTTTTTTTAACTAATTGAAATTAATTCAATTTTGAATATTCTACCTAAACAGTCAAAACTCAACTCTCCAATTGCCCTATCAATTAATGAATTCGGTAATCAATCTTTCTCTCTCATTCTCTTCTCATCTATCACCTTTAATTACCCCGATTAAACAAATTTAATTCACTTCTACCCCCTGCATGTATTCACCCCTCATCTCGAGCCTATGAGATCAGTAAAGTGTCAAAGGATCAATTCTACCTGGGCCACCCTAAATTCACGCGATATTCTATTTTCCATCGATAAATTGCCTCGAATACTTCGCCAATAAAAATAAAAAAATACCTTAAGCCCTAAATTTTCACCCTCATTCTCCTCGATTTAATCATTTAGTCCATCATCAATTCAAAGGACAACAATTTTTTTATTTCATCATTAAACTCTCAACGTGCCCTTTGGACGATCCTTTGTGGCACACCCCTTCGAAAATCTAATAATTATTTCCTCCACACACTTCGAATGAAAAAACGAAAAAGATGTGAATAAAATTCGTTAAACATTCGCCCAACCGATAAATCAATTCAAAGTGACGAAAGTATGTAATTCGAATTTTCTTGTTTTATAAAATAGCGATTTTTCACAAAACCCAAAAATTTTAGGTAAAAACACCAAAAGACTTTTCTTCCAGGAAATTTAATTAGCTACAAAAAATTCTCTATAGTTTCTACCCAAAACCATTAGGTTTTTAGATGAATCTCTAATCAATAAAGAAAAGAACCCTTATATAACTTCACCACATTGTCTGTTTAAAATTGATTTCTAAAAAGAAATGATTATTGGTCAGTGACGCCTTGATTCTCGTTAACCTGACACTATCCCTCGAAAAATTGCCCCAAAAACTCTAAAGGTTATATTCACGACACGTAGAAAATGGAAAAGACACGTTATTTCATCTCATCTACTGAACTTTATACATCGCTTCGTGGACCTCCTCTACTGAAGCATGAAGATTTAAACAGGAGAAATCCTCTAGTAGTTCTCATCCACCTGAGTGTCTGCCCCTGAATGGCCCTCAATCAGTAATTTTTAGATGGCATACAACCATTTTCTGAAGAGAAACCTGAAGAGAAGATTGGGAAACCCATCGAATAATCTCCCTATATCGTACATCTCTCGACGATGATTCAGGTAAGATCACTACGTGTCCCATTCGTCGCAGCTGCTCCGGAACATGGTCCAGCAGCCCGATGGTGCCGATCGCACGCAGCTCTCACTCACGTAGACTTTGTCATCGTCGACAGCGTCTACACTGTCAACTATGACAATCTCGTCAACGTTCATCGAGCTGACAGCAGCGAAGCGTTTGTTGACACCAGCGGACTGCTGGGACTCCTATACTCAACTCCTCGGATTTTTACTGTCCATTTTTCGCGGACTGTGACTCGGCTTCGTAGACGAGGGCGAGGGCGAGGGTGAACTGCTCTCAGTCTCCGGAGACGTTGCCAAACCGTTGCCAACGTAGTGGGTCAGTCTCGTCGGTAGGGAGCCAGCATTCAGCTGATAGAAGTCCACCAATTGAATCAAGTCGTAGAATTTTGTCACCCCCTTGTCCAGGGTGTACAAGCAGCCATTGCCACGCTCATCCACTGTCTACAATTCAAATATTTAAATTATTTCAATATGCACAATAATTATCTTCTCCTTCAATTCATTATCAAGTCAATTAATTCGATAATTCTCATTGAAAACACTTACAGGTTGTATTTGTGCATGAATTACTTTATCCCCGTATTTGTACGTGAGCACGAATGCACCTGGGTAGCTCTTGCTCTCCCTCACGAGGAAAACTCTGCAATAAGTACAAACAGAATTAATATGGAAGGAATTAAGAAAATTTATAAAAATGCCAAACAGAGAGAAAGAATCGAGTCGAGATGAGCGGATTGCGTCTGAATTATGAACACTGCAATAATCAAACAGTTTAATCAAGATGAAAGGAGATAAAGCAATTACACGGGACGAATGACACTAATGCACTGTATACTTTTTTTTTCAATGGGATTCTCAAGAAGTATCAAGGGAAAAGCGGGTGTACTGGCTGGGATTTCCGAGTGGGATGGGGGACCCCCCACACCCTCCGCCATCGCGCACGGTAGCACACTGAATTATTCAAAGCGAATTTATAATTTATATCCTCGGGGATAGACGTGAAAAAGGAAAACGCGAGGGCTGCAAGACACTTTTTCGTGACTCAAGACAGCGGAAAGTAAATGATAACGAGGAAGAATGCGTCAATTTGTCAGAGGATGCACTCTCTAAAGTTACTTTTTCTTTTTGGCAATTCCACAGAGACGAAATTTTCTCATCACCAAGGTTCCACAATTCTTCCTAGACTGGATTTTTCGTTCTTAATTGCATCGTTAATTCCCGCATATTTGAACCACTTGTGAAAAAATGGGAAACCAGAAACCCAACAGCTCAAAAATATGTAGCAAACACTTGAGTTTGGAGGAATAGTATTTTCTCACTGAATGATACAGTACCAATTCCACATTCGCAACGTCTGAATGGGAAAAAAAATCTCCGAATCCCTGTAATTTAACCGTGTCTGTAAAGTAATGGACTGCGCTGAGTATCGTCTGATGTTTTAAACACTGTAATTCAAAATGGCCATGGGAAAAAATGCACTGAGCGTAATGCGAGGTACCTTGGGTATTTAAAAAAATCCATAAAAATATTCAGCCACAACTTTAATTAACCAATTATACTTTCGGTTTCGTTTGACCCGCCGAGGGGTAGAATGCAACATAGCAATGATTTTTGCCGGCGAGTCGTGTAATTTTGGGGTCATAAAACAGTCGTTTGAGGTTTAAGCTTTCTTGGTGGTGTCTGTTTGGTGGGGGGGGTTAAGGGGGAGCAAAGTTGAGGGTTTTATTTGTGGGGGATTAGGCACGGTTGATGACTCGAGAGTCTCGATAAAGTTTCGAGGAACTCGTGGAGCGTTAGTTCAGTGAAATAGCATTGGGGCTCACTTACCCATCTACTGTTCCGTGCTCTCGAACAAGACTTGCTGCTGTATCTCTGTTGACATCTCTGTGAAACCAAGGCTTGAGAACGTGCACACCATCATCGAGGGCGTGTTTTCGTGAAACAGCACAGCCTGGAGGTGACCTGGAAAAGGGCCGCCATCTCCGTCGCCAAAGGAGGCCCTCACTCTCCGCAATATCCCTCGCCTCCTTTGGATCCTCCACTATCCGACCTACGCTACCAGTGAAGTCCATCGCTACCCTGGATCTGAATGATTCCTGCAATCAAAACCACCATGTTTTAATAAACTGGTGAATATCTCCTAAACGAGGTGAGATATCAAAATTTTGATACACATAATTTTTCTGGTCCCTGAATCGAACTACAAAAAAGGTGATTACGAAAAAAGCTGTATGTCCATTAATTTCTGAGATATCCAGGAGTAAATGCGTGCAGCTGTGGTGGCTTATGAATTAACAACGAAATTTTGACATAACAATTGCTTCTTAGGGCGCCCTTGGAGAGGATCTCGAGAGAACTTCCAGAGACAATGGGGACAACTATCAATACGATGCTCATCGCAAGAAAGGGTGGAAGTGGGTGGAGGATGAGGGATTTAATCGTAAGCTGCGGCAAAGCGCTCACTGGGCAAAGCTCTGGGATTGCCGCGTTCGGTTCACCCGAGTCTAGCTCTTTTCCTCGAGATATAGAATACTTATATACCTATGTATGAGCGTGTAGATATCTGGAGGACCTATGTACATGGGAGGGGGGATCGTGTGGCATAAAGGGTGATCCCTGGGTTGGCCCACGGAAGTGGAAACTTTGGGGATTACCAGTGAAAACCATTGGGATACGGCTTCCGAGGGAAAATGCTCTACTCTCATTTCTTTTTGTCTCTTTAAACCACCGTGGAAAATCCTCCGTCACTCGGGCTCACTTATTTTCCCTTGGAGATGGCTGAGACATCAGAAAATATCGGAATACATTCTCATTCTGGGATAAGTGGTGACGAGGTATATTTCCAAATAAAATTACATTCTACCCTCGCATTCGAGATCTAAATGGGAATCTATATACGGTGGGAAAGAAACTTTTTTACGCTTCGGGGAAAATAATATTTTTTATAACAACTGAGGATATTTTTTTATGAGGATGATCGATGAACAGCCAAATGACGAAATAATGATGCAGGACTTGAGAACAGAAGGTGGATGAATATCGATGCAATATTTACAATGAGCTATTTCTCAACTACGGCTGTCGCTAATGCACCTATGGTGCCGCGCCTCTCTAAACTCTCATTTATCGATTTCCCAACGCACTTATCGTCTCGCCTCGCTCAATGACGAGGAATTAATGTTGAAGCAACAAATATATTGAAGTAGAAATCCTCAACGGAGATGTAGAAGAGAAAATTACTCATTTTTCATTCAACTTTCTCATGTCACGCAGCTAAATAAAACCAGAAAAATGGCATTTCGACGCTGAATACGTCCCAACGCGTATCCAATGACAAACATAAATTTTTCAAAATTTCAGTATTGATTTGTGAATTTTTTTTACAGGTGATACAACAAAGGAAAGCCATAATTTAAATATTTCCCGGGGGCTGTCAGACACTCATCACTACCCACGTGTCTCCATCGCCAATGTATTGCCCTCCGCACGTACATTTACACTGATTGATCATCGAAACCAATGACCTCGCGACTCGGCTATTTTTCATCTCCTCTCTTCGCCGGCATCTTGGGCTCATTTGTGAGTGGAATGAAAGACGTGAAAAAAAAAACAAAAAATGTGAAAAAATCGCATAAAAAAGACACAAATGTCAAGACGTCTGTTGGTTGTTCCTTCACGGCTGAATAAATTGCGCATTTTTTTTATTATTTATTTCTATTCCTCTTACACCTATTTCAAACGCACAGTGAAATGGCCGTGGTCTTTTCGTATAAATTACCGATGGGGTGCGTGGGTGGTGTGCGGTGACCATTTACACCTGCGTCCTACGCGCGAAAATGGATAAACAATTTTCGTTCCTTCGGTTCGAGAGCTACAGGACTATCCATCAGGGGAGAACACATACTCGAGTTGTACGCAATGTTTGCTATTCTTTATTTTCAATTTTTTTTTTTAATGCTTTTTTTCTAGGTACATGCGATTTTATCCCACTCGAATGGAGCTGCCGGTAGCTGAGCCTTTCCACACGCCTCAATTGCATTGCGACACCGATTTATTGCCGTCTGGTTCAACAGGGAGCGCGGGAACATTGTGGACTTTTCGGTTTTACTTTTTCTCTGGTTGTTAATGTTCCTTACGTTGTTCGTCATGATAATTGTTGCTCCAGAGGCGATGATATGAGAAAGTTGTTTTTTGAATTTTTTTATTGGTTTGTTCGATTTTGGGATGGGTTTTGATCGGATTCAGGGGCTCCAGTTATTCACCGAGTTTTTGAGACCTTGGTACCTAAACTTTCTGGTTATCCCAGCAGATGGCGACGGTTTCTTCACTGGAAAACCTCGTCTTTGTTATCGGTTAAGTAAACGAAATCGGAGCCAAATGACTGGATTTTAAATTCCAGGCGTTTGGGTCTGTTATTTAATTTATTTAAATCCTGGAATTTTTTATTAATATTCAAAAATTGAGAGATTTTCTGTCTTTCTGTTTTTTTTTTTTTAGGAAATTTTCAGGTTTTTTTATACGTACGACGAGAAAAATTCGTAAATCCCCGGGATTTATTATTACAGGTATAGTTTTATTTTTGTTAATTAATGTGATTAATCGACGCGTTTTTTAATCTTGCGGTAATTTTTCATAGCGAATCCTTGAGAATGTGATATGCCTATCCTCCCTCTGTTGAAGAACAATAAATTAATGTCTCCAACAATAGAAAGTCGAACGCAACAGCATCGTCAGAAATAATCTCGAGCTTGATTGAATCAACGAGTCGATGTAATTTTAATTCGAGCCAGTCGAAGGTCGAATCGAGTGAACGAGATCAGCGTATTCACCGACATCACCGTGATTCATCTTCCCCGATATGCCCACCATATATTATGACGAAAATATTTATAAAATTCGATTATACTTCGAGATAGGTGAATATACCTCTCCTCCCCGAAGAAGAGTTCTAATTTCCAGTGACTCATTCCCAACTCTTTGTTGTTCTCATGGCAAATAATAATTTAATCCCGTGAATTATCTTGAATATTTTTCCCGGTGCTGAGTTGTGCGACAATAATTCACAAAAAATTGAAACCCCGAATAAGAAAAAGTGAATTCTCCACGCACTAGATCACGAGCTCGCCAATAATTCTCTCCAGCAGGATCCAAACCCCTGAATCCCATAACTCAAAATAGTTTCCCAACCGAAGATGCACTGTCAGCTGTTTTTGGCAAAGTGCAGAGAGCCAATTTGTCAACATTAAATTACCGAGTGGTAGTGATGGAGGAAGGGGGTGATGGAAAGCTTGGGGTTATAAATCCGGATAAATGAAAATGGTAATCCCGTTGCTAATGGTGAACGGAATATTCTTGAGATTTTCTTCTTGCCTGGGGAGATGGAGCGAGAATGGCGAAAGAAGAATTGCGACCACGAGGGAAATACAGGGTGGAACCCAGTCAGCGATGGGTTGGTGGAAGGTGGTGGATTTTGGACGAGAGAGGGATAAGCCACTTCAGAAAATAAGACCCGGACTGGAGAGGAAGTGGGCTTGAGCTTTCGGAGGGATTTATCGTTTTCCAACGCTGAAGCTATGTACACTCTTGGTTTTTGGGAGTGAGTGGTTCAGTTCGAAGAGGGCGGATACCTAAAAACCCCTTCGCTCTGGATATTCCAGTGCATATTTCACACCGGAGTTTTTTCACACCGACCAATTTCCCACTAATCAGACGGATTCGCAAATAATTACCGACTCCACTATATCCCGGCCCTTTCTGCACCCTTTTTTGGCTAATTCGCCCTATCCCACCCTATGCATGCAGCTGTGGATCCTACACTGTACCGTATTCACTGCTCCTATAGAACATAGAAGTGACATGGGAAACCACAGGAAAAACCATGTCGGTAGAACGGTTTCTCTATTAGCAACCTCACACTCATTGATTCCTGTTGAAAAATTCCATTCAAATTCGATTTGATTGGAAAATGCAATTGCAGCAATTTGCCGAGTTCGGATTTCAGTCCTAATTCCATCCCACGCATCTAGAAATCTCGAACAGCTCCGTGGAGTTGGACCATCTCCAACTGCACCAAACGACTCTCAAACGTAATTAAATTTATTTAACGGAAGATTGAGCCATGTGTTCCCTGGCGAATCCCTCCAGGAGCACCCCAGTATCTCGAAATGTTGTCGTAAACGTCCGATGAGGAGTAATAACAATAAACCACACCGGAGGGTGCAACCACGGGGTCGTTTGTAGACGTGTGCCTCCTGTCAACTAATTCCCCCCTCATCCGGGACTTCGACATGAGACCTTCAATAACACCAGCAACTGTCTGAATTATCTCCACTACTCTCTGTAAATTTCCTCATCTAGGTTAATACGAATTTAAAAAATCTCGAAATCCACTCCGAAAAATAGAAAAAATTCTGGCAAAATGATTCCTACTAGTCGATAATGCCAAAAAGTTATCTAGGATCAGGAATAAATTTTCTAGATCACGAAGAAAATAATTTCTTTGAAGATAGAAAATTCTGTAGCAGTGGAGAATATTTTTATCATTTTTTTTTCAGCGTGAAACTTTTTTCTTTGTGTAATGTACGGGGAGGTGTCAATAACGATCAATAAAGAGGGATTTTTATTGCTCGAATTGCCGGCAACTGGCAAACGCGGTATAATAAAGTTGTGAGAGTAGAGATTGGAAAGAATAAGGGCGAGCTGTGGGGGAGTGTCGTGGAAAATTTGCAATCGTATAAACATGGATGTGGGCTGCATGTGATGTGCTGGATTATCTTTTTGTGGACACGTACACGTTGAGTTGTGTAGTGCAAGCATTGCCGACGTTAACGACACGACAAAACGTATAACGGGTCTAGCTGGATGGCATGGCATAAATGTACGAATGGGTGTAGACACCGGTGAAATAAATAACTCCCCATCAATTTTTCCTATTATTCCCCCAAACACACTATCAATATTTATAATGACTCCTACTGAAAACTTTTAAAAAATTAATCTGATTGATTTGACACTTCTCTTTCTGGATTTGAAATTATTTGTTGGAACTCCTCGAGGAATTGATTTGAGAAACAAAGACCTTGGAAGTCTGAGACTT